TATATGTATGTATGTATACATGCTTGTATCTATATATACATACAGAAGTAAATGTAAAGATAGTAAGTACAAAATAGTTTGGGAGGGAGGGAAGGAGGACACTAGCATTTAGGAGGATCAGGAAAGGCTTCATCTAACGAGGTGGTTTTTGAGTTTGTATCTTTGGGGGGGGGCTGGGCAATGGGGTTAAGTGACTTGCCCAGGGTCACACAGCTAGTAAGTATTATGTGTCTGAGGCTGGATTTGAACTCAGGTCCCCCTGAATCCAGGGCCAATGCTCTATCCATGGCACCACCTAGCTGCCTCTTTAGTTTGTATCTTGAAAGATGAGGCAAGGAGGTGAGAGGTGATGAGGGTCTCACCCAAGATAATAGATGTAGACAAGTGATTTGCTTCAGTAGATATTATGGAGGTAAAATCAGCAAGACAACAACAGATTAGACATGTGGAGTGAGAGAAGTACAGGACGCTGCTAAGGTTAAGAATAGAGGAAACTGGAAGAATGGTGATGCCTTTAGCAGAATAAGGAACTTTGGCAGAGAAGTGGGTTTTGGGGGGAAAATAATGACTGCAGTTTTGGGCATATTGAATTTGGGATGTCTGTGGAGCATCATGACCTCAGCCCTTTCAATATTCCTTGTTCTCCTGGCCCGTTACCCCAATTTATCTGTACTTTTCTGCCTAACCGGTTTTGCTCCCTTCCTTCCAATGCTAATCCCTCTTCCAAGTGGTATTGATCCCATATCCCTTGGCATTTCCAGATCCTTGCTACATCAATTTTCCCTGCTTTCTCTGAGATCTCAACTCTATCTTTATTTGTTATTTCAGTTAACCAGACAAGCAACAAGCATTTATTCAGCTCCTCTATGCCTGGAACTATGCAGAGTGCTGTAGATCCAAAGATAGAAATTAAATAGTCCCTGTACTAAAGGAGTTTACATTATTTTAGGAAAAATATCTGTGCATGCATACACACACACGCGCACGTGCACGCACACACACACACACACACACACACACACACACACCCTATGCATGCATGCACACACCACTGTAGTGGTGCTGGGAATACAAAGGCAAAAAACAAAACAGTTTCTGACTACTAAGAGCTTGTGGATAAGGGAAGCACAGGATAGGAAACATAAACTTCCTGGTGCTTCTTCTTGAAATAGTCCATTTTATTTTTAGAGAGCTCTAATTATTAAGAAGTTTTTCCTTATATTGAGCCAAAATTAACATTTCTGAAGTTTTTAATCTATTGGTCCAATGCCTGCCCTGTGGGGGAAATTAACATAAATCCATCAGCATTGTGCTGGTATATAGTTAATAAGTGGATCTCAAAAAAAAGTGTGCCCATGACCCAGTTTTCAGTTTAATATGCATTATTAAAACGTTTTTTCCACCACTCTTTACATCTCGATCAATAGAACAATAAATCCAGCCCAGATTTGTATCATCTGCCAATTTCTGAAGTGTAAAAGCTCACACTGAAAATCTAACAATCAGCTCTTGTGAAACTATTCAAGCTGGCACCAGTATATTCCTGGCAGTTCCTCTTCCACATAATAATCTTTTGAATATTTGAAGACAGCCATTTTATTCCCACTGTCATCTTTCCAAACTTAGGATCTCCAATTCCTTCAAGTGATGCTCATGTGAAGTCATCATGGTCATGTTTTTCTATTCTTTCTCTGCTTGTTGATACCCTCCCTAAAATGAAGTATTGAGAGCTGAACTTTAGATGTGGTCTGGTCACTGTCAAGATAGATAGTAGTAGTTTTCAGAATTTTAGATATTGTTCTATACAATTGCCGAAGATACGCCTCACTGGAAAACCTGACATGCTTGCAGATGATTTAACATCTCACAAATCTGAATTAAGCAATGGTCTCTTGGGGCCATTAACAATTTGATCAACAAATGGCAGCTTTAGATGCCAAGTGTTTATGCTGATGGAAAAACTTAACTTTCTAGTTCAGGACTTAGATGTTCTTAGGTCATTTTTGAGTATTTCTGTGCCTGGACTAGAATTGGAGGACTTTGGTATTAATGGAATGAACTGAAAACTAGAGTGTCATTATGTTATAAAGTTAGTACATGCAGAGTTGGAGCTTGGGTTCAGTGGGTTTTCTCCCCATCAAAGAGGCAAGAGGTGGTAGTTTTATCATCATCATCATTTTTATTTTTTGTGTAAAGAAATAAAAGGTGCTATATTGAAGGTTCCTAGCTTCCCTGACTTCCTTCAAGCCTCACTAAACTTCCATTTTCTGCAAAAACTCTTTCCAGACCCCTTTTAATGGTAGTGTTTTCCCTTTTGTCGTTTATTTCCAGTTTATCCTCTATATAGCTTGTTGGCTGATTGTCTCCCCCCATCCCCCACCCCCACTTAGACTGTGAGCTCTGTGAGAGCCAGGACTGTCTTTTGCCTTTGTTTGTATCCCTCATGTTTAGCACAGTGCCAAAGCCCATAGTTGGTGCTTAATAAAGGCCAGTTGGCTAACTAATCAAATCATCATTGTCTCAGATGTGGACAGCACAGAAGTTTCGCAGAACACCACTTTGCTGACTTTTAAATATCGTTATGGCTGAGATTTGTTGGCACTTAGTTGACTGCATTTGTTCTGTCCACATTTGCAATAACGATGATTTTGGCCAAAAGCCAGACAATGATTAAGTTACTACAGTGCCATGAAGTGGTAAGATTTATGGCCCCCAAAGGGAGAGGACAAGTAGCAGTTACAAGTTAGGATTTTTGTTCCTCACAGTAGTTCAGTTGGTGGATACAGCAGCTATGTGGACTGTAACTTATCGGCAGGAAAATACCGCTGAGAACTTACTGGGTGATGTGGAGTTGAGGGAGACAGAAATTTGCTTCATTATTGGTTAATTGGCAGTGCCACCATATACTGGAACCTCCTTAATGTTGTCTGTTCTCTTGGACCTCATCCAAGTGCATTAATAACCGAAGCATTGAAAGAATCTTACTCAGATATGTCTTGCCTGTGAGGCAATTCTAAGACCAGGGATTCTGAGGAGGAAAGGGGTCATCTCTGTCGATTTTACCAGCACAATGTTGGTGTATTTCCCTCCTCCTCCTCCTCCCCCCCCCTTTTGGTAACACATTAATGAGATAAAAATTATTGTCTTAAATTGTTGGAAGAAAGAAATGCTCTTGGAGGGTGAATTTTCTTTTGACTCTTAGTTAAAAAATAAAGGAAATGGAATGAAAAATAGAGAAGGAAACACAGATAGGGACTTCAGTAAATCTTGCTGAGGGAAGAGGATGAATGAGTGTGTTTCAAGCCTGGAAAGCATATGCTCTGTCTTCAGAGCTTTCATGATAGGAGAGATTTAATTAGTTAATGGGCTTTGGGGCTCTCAGTTGTCACTGCAACGTTATTTACTCGGTATGCTTAGTTGGAGCCACCAAAGTGAGTAATACGCTACTTACTCATTGCATGTTTATTTGCCTGTGACCTGCAGGCCTATTGTAATTTATGAGATGAACTTATTGCTTCCGACCAACAAGATTTCTTTTACCCCCCTATAAACTGCCCTTGGTTTGTTTAATTAAGCTTGGGAGTGTACCCTGCCATCAGGCTCCCTCCCTCCTCTCCCTTCCCCAGGAGAAATGCTTCATATATTAAAGATTAAATAAATATGATTTTGGACACGTTAAATGTTGTTCAGCCTGACTTCAGCTGAAATGGAAGCCATTGTGTTCTGTTGTTTGACAGCTATTAAATAACACAGATATACAGTCTGAGGTTTCCCACTAATTTGTGTTCTGTACTACAGAACTGTACTATTTTAGTGGACAACCCACCTCAGGCATCCTACATAGGAACACACTTTTTGGTGAGGCAGTCAGGGTTAAGTGACCACACAGCTAGTAAGTGTTATGTGTCCGAGCCTGGATTTGAACTCGGGTCCTCCTGACTCCAAGGTTGGTGCTTTATCCACTGCACCACCTAGCTGCCCCTTAGAAATGCACTTCTTAAGTTTACTTATACATCACCTGAGGAGTTAGTTTGTGTGTGTAGCCTTTGATTTATGGCAGGAATATTTCTTTTTTAAAAATCTGGCTATGACGGTCCTGTCTGGGTAAATTTTCTGTCAACTTGTACACCCATGTATAACCTCTAGTCCTGGAAATTGAATTGTCAGCCCTATCCTTGTTTCTTGTAATGGCATGTCAGTCAACTGCCTGTTGCTCCATTAAATTTCTAGACCAAGATAATTGACGTTGGCCATCACTCTTCCCTAGCTATCTATTCCCCCATGAGAGAATATGTTCTTGAGGGAAATGACTGTCTTGCTTTTGTATTTATCCCCCAAGGGCTTACTACAATGCCTAGTAAGGAGTAAGCGCTTAAATGTTTTTTCATTCATTCTTTCAAGCAAAATATATTTAGAGTATGTATATTGACCCCTTCCTCTCTCTGTCTCTCTTTTAGGCTTTTTCTATGTTCAGTTTTCCTGTCTCTGACTGCAGATTTTTTTTCTCTTCCTAGGCTTTCCTGACTACCTTGGTCTAATTTAGATAAAGAGTTCTTCAAGGCAAAGTCTTCTCCTTTGTGACTTCAGCTCTCTAAAGTGCTGTATATACTTGTGTTAGTCTATAAATAGCAAGTCATCAGAAGCCAGGATTTCAGCTACTAGTTGTTAAAAGTGGCATTTAGACTTCTGTAGGAACTCAGAAATTATCCAGGTGTAACATGAAAAATGATGTTGGAATTAATTAGGTTAAAAATGTTTGTTTCCTAAACACACACACACACACACACACACACACACACACACACAGAGTTTCTTCCCTATCTAGTCCAAAACAGGGTATGTACTCTAAAAGTAATCAGAAAGTTGGAGAACATGGATGGAATCTTTTGACATTTCAGGGAAAAAAAATGCCTTTTGGTCTTCTGTGAAGTGATGGCATATTTACCGTGATATTGGTCAAACTGGGCACTAATTATAATTCCTTTTGCCTTTGCTCCTAGGGAAGGCCGCTCAAATGCTCACATCAAAGGAGATTACCAAAGAATTGGTGATGTCATGCTGAAGAACATTCAAGGCATGAAGGTAAGCCAGGTGGCAATCTCTTCATTGTGGGCCGCTCTCCAATGTAAAGAGAGTTCACTCTCTTTGTTTCTGTGGGAGCCCTAAATAACCACACCAGAAGTGAAAATGCCACCCCTCTCCCAGGATAGAAGGGAGAGGGGAAGAGAGAAGAGAATTTGGAACTCAAAGCTTGAAAAAAGAATGTTAAAATTGTACTTATATGCAATTGGGGAAAAAATAAAATATTAAATTAGCCCCCTCCCCGAGTTAAAATTTCTCTAAGATTTGATAACCTCAGAAAGTACTGTAGTCATTGTGTATGGCAAGCATTTCTTAATTTTTCATGCCTGAATTTCTACAGTATTTTTTTTAACATAACACTGTGAAGTAGGGTATTTCAGCAAATCATTTTTCAGGTATGCTGAAATTACAAGGCCTGTCTTGGGAGGCAGTTTTCGTACCTTTTAAAAGGAAGGATTCTGAGAGTCAGAATGCCTTAGTAGGTAAACGGTTGGTTTTGGAGTCAGGATGATCTGGATTCTTTGTCATACTTTTAACAGAAATCAGCTGTGTCACCATGCATAAGTCATTTAATTCCTGAGGGAGCTAGTAAATTTATTAAGACTTAATTATCCAGGAGAACTCACATGTGTGGACCAAAAAAAATCCCAAAAACAAAACAAGAAACATACAGAAAAAGGGAAAGTTTCTGTACGTGCAGTATCAAAATATGAGGTAATATCACTGAAAACATAGAACAAAACAGTCGCTTAGTATTTTGTATGCTAAACATTGGGCAGCTAGGTGGCTCAGTGGATAGAGCACCATGCGTGAAATCAGGAAGACTCATTTTCCTGAGTTCAAATATGGCCTCACACACGTACTAGCTGTGTGTCCCTAGGCAAGTCACTTAATCCTCTTTGCCTCAGTTTCCTCATCTGCAAAATGAGCTAGAGAAGCAAGTAGCAAAGCACTCCAGTATCTTTACCAAAAAAAGCCCAAATAGGGTCATGAAGACTCAGACATAATTAAGAAATGTATGAACAACAACATAATAAACAGTTGATTTGTTGATTGCGAAATTTGTTCATAAATATGTTGAAATTTTTTTTTGGCTTGTTTTTGGTGAGGCAGTTGGGGTTAAGTGACTTGCCCAGGGTCACACAGCTAATAAGTGTCTGAGTCTGGATTTGAACTCAAGTCCTCCTGACTCCAGGGTCAGTGCTCTATCCACTGTGCAACCTAGCTGCCCTTCCTATTCTTTTTGTTTTGTTTTGTTTTTTAATTTTTAAATTTTATTTGTTTGTTTATTTTTGGCTAGGCAGTGGGGTTAAATGACTTGCCCGAGGTCACACAAGTGTCAAGTGTCTGAGGCGGGGTTTGAACTCAGGTCCTCCTAACTCCAGGGTCAGTGCTCTATCCACTGCGCCACCTGGCTGCCCCCCAATTTTTTATTTTTTTAAATGAGTGTTTTAGTATTGCCTAGACAATACCCAAATCTGAATTCAGAAGCATGTGGAAATTTCTAGTCAATTCTATCAGTTACATTCAAGAAAGAGAACGTGCAAGTTTTCTTGTCAAAAGTGAGAGAGAATAGAACATTGTAGTGCAGAGATCTGGACTCTGACATAATGCAATTTAACAAACATTTGCATATAAAGTTATATAGGGCAAGTCACTTTACCCCTCAGTGACTTGGTTTCCTTATCTGTAAAACAGGTAATATTAATCACTCAAAAGAATTTATAAAAGGTGGACTGTGTTCCCAGTACTTCTAGTTAATCTCCTTGGAGAATAAGTTCTTTGAATCCAGAAACTATTTTAATTCTTCCTTTTTGCCCCCACCACCTAGAACAGTGGCTGGCATGTGGTCAGTACTTAATTACTGTTTGTTGATTTATTGATTACCTATGTAACTTGATTGTTATTTGGAAAACCTTCAAGCATCTAGAAAAGTAAGTTGTTTTTGTTGTTATTACGCTGGGTACAAAAGTCACCAACAACATTTAGGGATCATATGTCAATGACAGTAGTTGTCTAAAAGATTACAGACAGTTCTCACTTTAAGTAAATTCACATTACACAAATTTCACTTTCTGTGAAAGAAATATTCATTCCAAAAAAAAAACTATGTTAACTTTATTGTACAGTACTGTGCTTTCTCTCTCTACTCTTTGCCCTTTGGTTTGGTGTTCTGTGGCCTTCCAACCCACCTTTTCCCCTCCCCCCCCCAAAAAAAGTATTAAAACCCTTCAAGTGAAAGGAGAACAGCCACATGGAGTGACCAACACTGGACTCGGGGCTTGGCTTGAGATCTCCAGCACTGAGAGAGGAGACCTTTGTTCTGCTCTCCCCACCCACCTACGTGTCTAGCCCTGTGTGTTTGTCTTCTGCCCATCCAGGCTCAGGCACGTCATGTCTGTTCACCACCCCTGCATGTCAGCTGGCCCCCTCTGCTTCCACACATATTCTTCCTCTTGCTTACAGCCAGCCCCGACATGGCTGGCCCCATCCCCCACGCATTCCTTATCCTGCTCTCTCACTTCTCTGGCTCCAGCTCCCACATGTTCTTAAGCCATGTGCTGGCCCCCTCCTTCCATGGGCAAGAGGCCCCTTCCTGTTTCCTTGCCTCCCTCCCTTCTCCACATCCCCGGGCAAATTTAATTACATAAATATCACTTTGTTGGTTGGTCCATTTACATAAAGCAAGAACTGTCTGTTTGGTCACAAGATAAATAGAATACATCTTGAGTGCTTTATAAGTTTATGTTCTATTAATTTTTAAAACAGTGCCCAATTTCTTGCAACTAAACTTTAGTTTTAGGTTGTTTTCAAGCTATTAAACTTAATTTATTTACAAATTCAGTAAATTCAAAATTTCTGTTAATGAATATAGAGTATAAAGGTCTATAAATATTCAGAATGACCAGACTCCATCCCTTTTCATCTCTCTGCTGCTTTTGACACAGTTGCCCACCCCTGTCTCATGGATTGCCTCTCTTCTTTCAGCTTTCATGATGCTGTTCTTCTCCTTCCTGTCTGATCACTCCTCAGTGTCTTTGAGTAGATTATAACCCAACCTCACTTACCTACTAAGGAATTTCTTCAAGATGTCTTCTCTTTCTCTCCCCTCACCCCCTCCCCCTCCTCCCTTCCCCTCTTTCCTCCCTTCCCCTCTTTCCTGCTCTTTTTCTCTTATCTGTTTATCTGTCTGCCTGTCTATCTGCCTATCTATATCTATACATTCTCTTTCTGAGTGAGCTCATTAATGTCCCTGGTCCAATGATCACTTCTCTGCAAAGGAGTCCCACACATGTATATCTAGCCCTCCTCTCCCATTCTCCTTCCTTCCCTTTCCCCCTACTCTCTCCAGCCCAATCCCTCTGTATCCCCATACCAACTGCCTGCTAGACAGCTCCATCCGGATATATTATAGGGGTATTTCAAACATAATTATGTCCAAAATGTAATTCATTGTCCTTCCCTTTTAATCTACCCTTCTTTCAAATTTCCCTATTTTTCTTGTGGGTATCATGATCCTTCTGGCCACTTAATTTCACAACCTCAGAGTTATCTTAGAATCTTCATTCTCAGTCCCCATAGCCAATAAATTGCCAAGTCTTGTCCATTTTACTTTCACAGTCTCCTATATCCACCCCACCCCCCTTTTCCTCTCACATTACTTTCTAGCTCCATGCTTCTTAACTTATTGCTGGGACTATTGCAGTAGCATCCTAATTGCTCCACTTCCTTCTAGTCTTTCCACTACCCAATCCATCTTCCACAAAGCTGCCAAAATAATCTTCCAGGTCTACCATGTCACTCCCCTGTTCAGGAATTGTCAATGACCTCATGTTGCCTCTAGGATGAAATACAAATGCCTGTTTTAAAACCCTTCCTAATTTGGGTTCACCCTTTTATTACAGATTATTTTACATTATTCTTCTTTATATTTTCTATGTTCCGTCCAAACTGGACAACTTTATGTTTTTTAAATTTGGTATCTCATCTCTCATCTCTATCTGTCCAGTCTATATCCTTTTCCTTGAATGGACTCCTTTTCCTCACTCCCACATTTTAGACTCCTTTGCTTCTTTTCTTATGTCTCATAGAGGAACCCATGGAAACCTTTCCTGGTCCCTCTAATGTAGTGCTTTTGTCTTTAAGTATATGGTATTAATTTACCCTGTGTAAACATTCAGTCCCCCCAGTGTAATGGAAGGTTTATGAGGAGACTGGGTTTTTCTTTTGTCTTTGTATCACCTGTGCTTAACTTAGCACCTTATGTAAGGAGGTACTTCATAAATGCTTTTAAATTAAATTAAAAGCAAACTTTTTCCATTCCAGTTGGCCAGATACTGGTAGAGATCATAACTTTTAGGAGCAAGTAAAATGCTGAAGTAGGCTAAGAGGGTGGAATTTAATAAACTATTTGTCTAGGACAATAAAAATTATCCTTGAAGCTTGAATTAATGCACTTACCAAAGAGATTAACTTAGTCATGGACATGATTTAGGTAAGTATATTTTTTTCTTGAGTAGCAATGCAAGAAAGAGCATTGAACTGGGAATTGAAAAACGGTATCTAGCTCCAGCTTTGCCACAAATTAGTTGTGGCAAGTTAAGTAACCTTGGACCTATAACTTAACTTCTATGTATCTCAGTTTTCTCATCTGTGAAATGACAGGGTGGAGCAAAATGAGCTTTGATGTCTCTTCCAGATTTAACATTCTGTGATTATATGTCTTAGGAAATTTGGAGCATTCAGTGAGAAGGAAAGGAAAACGAAAGTATTTCTTGGACCCATCGGTCACTCTCCTTTTTTTTTCTTTTCAAAGACATTGGTTGGAATATTTTGTTGATAATTAATATATTAATTAATAATTCATGTTATAATATTTGTTGTTTTTCAGTTGTTTCAATCATATCCGACTCTTTGTGACCCCATTTGGAGTTTTCTTGGCAAAAATACTAGAGTGGTTTGCCATTTCCTTCTCCAGCTCATTTTATAAATGAGGAAACTGAGGCAAACAGGGTGAAGTGACTTGCTCAGGGTCACACAGATAGTAAGTGTTTGAGGTCAGATGTGAACTCAGGTCTTCCTGACTCCAGACCCAGCACTCTATCCACTGTGCCGCCTAACTGCACTATTATAGTATTATTAGTAATTAAATAATATGCCTTGTTTATTCTTTTACTAATTATGTTAACAATACTTTTATTTTAGGTGTGATATAGGAAAGAGTAGTAAGAGACCAGGACTGAAAGTCAGCTAAAATGAATTTGGGTCCTTACTCTGCCACTAATTTACTATGTGACCTTAGTCAAGTAATTTTACTTTTCTGAGGCTCTTTCCAGTTTTCCTGTTCTATACAATTTAGGGATTTGGATTACATGATGTTTTAAGGTTTCCTTCAAGTTCAGATGCTGTGATAAACTTGCATGTGATATCAGAGAATATGGTTGATTTGTGGTAATAAAAGAATTCCTGCTAAATATGTTTCTCAGGCAATGATGAAATGTTTATGCCATAATTATAACTCGAAGTACACAGATTCATGTATTGCAGACTAGCTCATGTCTTTTTCATTTCTGAAGTTTTGCCTCCTGTCCTCTTTTTCTGTGTTCATGCCTTTGTCCTCACATCTGCCATTTTCAGTGTCACTTTTATAATATCTACTTTCTGGGTTCCCTGTTTCTTGTCCCCTTCAGCCTTTCCTCTTTTTCCACTTATTTCCTCAGAAAGCTTGTTATAAATCTCATTATTCTTGCTTACCAGTCTTCCTGTGGCATCCTCTGTGCTTAAGCTTTTCAAGCTCTTAAGATTTTACACCTCTATGCCTACTTTAACTCTCATCTTACAGTATCCAGTACCATGCCATGAGCCATTAAATGCTCAACGTATGTTGGGTCTCCCTTGTCTTGTCTTGAGCTGTCTTCCTGCTCTGCCCTTCTTTATCTTTTCTTCCCATGGTAGTTTTCTCTTTTACAGCTGCCTTCCTAGCTACTTCCAGCATTTCACTTTCATACCAAGTGCTGACACTCAGTTCGTATCAGATCTCTTTTCTTCGAGCCCAATCCAGTCCTCTTATGAGGCCACATGGACTGTGATGGTTTCCATTTATAACCACCCTTCCCCCCTTTCCATAGACAGTCTCACACACACACACACACCCCTCCCCTACTCCATAGACAGACAGACACACACACACACACACACACACACACACCCCCTTCTGCACCCCTCTCTCTATGTGTACTAAATCTTCAGCCTAGAGACTTAATGTGTCATTCTGTAAGCTTCCCCAGTCACTTTGGCATTTCAAATATTGTACTAGTGCTGTGAATGTTTATAGTACGAGTCCAGTACAAGCAAAAGAGAAATAAGGAAAGAAATTTTCCAAGTGCCCTTGTATCATTGTTTTACCTAAAGTCATCATTACCAGGAACTTATTAAACATGTTAGAAGGAGTATCCCTCTGTCATTTCTCTACCTCCTCTTCCACACCATCCATTGCACATACTTGCAGGAGTGATGTAGTGAATATTTTATTATTAGCCTTCTATTTTGAGGGGGACTATTACTAGCCCGTATGCAAGGGAGGATTTTGACATTATTCAGGGAGCTTTGCCAATTGAGTGCATTAGCTGGGATATTTTTGTTGACATTATTTTTATTCTGCTATCTTTATTATGTGTCTTCTCTGTTTTAGCCATACTGTACAATGTAAAAAAAAAAATAGCCAGCCTCTATGCTCAAGATCTGCCTAATTATTTCCCAATAGGTATAAATTTAACACCATCAATATTGTTTTGAACTTAGAACATTTTTTTAATTCAAAAAACTTTTTTTTAAAAGTGAGCTCTAATATGGGTGCAAACTTATTGTGTCAAGTTTCAAACGAATGTCTTTGTTGTTGTTGTTCAGTTGTGTCCAGCTCTTTGTGACCCTGTTTGGGGTTTTCTTGGCAAAGATAATGGAGTGGTTTGCCATTTCCTTCTCTAGCTTATTTTACAGATGAGGAAACTGAGGGAAATAGGGTTAAGTGACTTGCCCAGGGTCACAGAGCTAGTAAGTATCTGAGGCCAGATTGGAACTCAGGTCCTCCTTTCTCCTGGTCCTGCACTCTACCCACTGTACCACTTTGCTGCCCCATGTATCTTTGCACCTCCCCCAACACCTCAAATAAAGACAGGTACCATATTGATCCAAATATAGCCTGCATTTTTGCAAATGTGAAATCTGTTTCTTCCCCATCTGCCTGTTTTTTCTTTCTCTAAGCAACTGACAAATCACTTGTGGAAGCACAACGAGGCTTTGGTAGAGCTGGAGAATGGGATCAAGAACTCTCGTAGACTGGAGAGCTTCTGTCGAGACTTTGAGCTGCAGAAAGTCTGTTATCTGCCTCTCAACACCTTCCTCCTTCGGCCTTTGCACAGGCTTATGCACTACAAGCAGATAATGGAGAGGCTGTGCAAGCATTACCCACCAAACCACTCGGATTTCAGGGACTGCAGAGGTAAGTAGAAAGAGCCAGCTGTCCCATCCACAAAGAGCATTCAGGTTTCATGGATTTTAATGCTGTGTCTGCAATTTTGTTTGATACCTAGAGGGACTTTTATGCCAGTAATGACATTCTGTAGGAATTGCGAAGTGATGGATTTTCTGTATGTTATTAACTCTGACGTTTAAAAGGTGATGGCAATGGATTTTCTTGGTGATGTTTTGTTTTCTTCTAATGCTGTTGATATAAGTGGAAAATGTTCACAAGTTTGTTTTCTTTCCAGAGAAGGAGTTAATTTGTGCTCCTCCTAACCTGGAAAGCTAGATTGCCATGGTTCGAAAGCAATGTGCTGCTGGCAAGAATCTTTTCCCCAGAGTCTGTCAGAGAATGTAATCCCTGGTTTGGCCTGTCCTTAATCTTCCCTTACTCTTGGGGAACTTTTGATTTAATGCCTTTGAAATATTTACCTTTTTTTTTTTAATAGGGATAGTAGGTCTAGGACTAAAAGGCCTCTCCTGTTCAGGTACAGCTTAGACTAGATGGTCTCCAAGGTACTTTCCAAATGTGAGATTCCAGGACTACAAGGAACCTGGGCTCTTGCCCTGTTTCTATCATTAGCACTGTTACGTTGGGCAAATCAATTCACTTTTCTGGGCCTCATTTACCTTACCTATAAAGTGATCTCTCCAGTCCCTTCTAAATTCAGAGAGGCTATATTCAGAATGACCACGAGGTGATGAATTTTTCAGTTACGATAACTTTCAAAGATCTTTTTTATCCTAGTGACAGAATCTATAAGCACGTTCATTTGGTCCTTTCTGTTTACTGCCTGCCACAAGGTTACTGTATTTGAAGGCCAATTGTACCCCATAGAACTAAGAGTAAAGGGATTGTTTATATGTGTCAAATGCTGTTGGGAAACCTAAGCAAAGTGAGCTAGCACTGGAAGTAAATCACTACGTTTTTATTATGCTGGTGTCTCTGAGGGAAGTAATGCTGTTTAAACCTTAGGAAGATGGTTTCTGACATCGTCATCCTAGAGGGTTTTATCCTGAAGCTTGAACTGGAGAAGAGGGAAAAAACCCAATAGCCCCCATGTCTCTCATAAACACTTAGAGCTTTCTTTCCTTTTTATTTTATCAGCTGCGCTGGCGGAGATTACAGAAATGGTGGCGCAGCTCCATGGCACCATGATAAAGATGGAGAATTTCCAGAAGCTACATGAACTCAAGAAAGATCTGATTGGCATTGACGATCTTGTCATCCCAGGACGGGTAAGTAGGATAGGTCAACGTGTGGTACCTAGGAGCAAAGCAAAAGGTGAGATCCACTTGCTTTCATGTTAAATCAGTTTGGGTCTAAAAAGCAATTAGGCGGTTAGTCGGTGCAGTGGATAGAGCATTGGACTTGGAGTCAGGAAAACCAGAGTTCAGATCCAGCCTTAGACAGTGCCAGATCTCTTCACCTGCCTCCGTCCTCATCTGTAAAATGGGGATAATAATAGCATCTGCCTCATTAGGTTGCTGTGAGAATCAAATGAGGTCACATTTTGCAAACCTTAAAATTCTAAATTAGCCTGCCTCCGAGATACTGTGGGTTTGGTTCCAGACCACCACAATAAAGCAAATATTGCAATAAAGTGAGTCACGTGAATTTTTTGGTTTCCCAGTGCACATAAAAGTTATGTTTATACTATAATCTGTTAAGTGTGCAAAAGAATTATATCTAAAAACATAATGCATATAACAATTAAAATACTTTACTGTTAAAAAAATGCTAACCATCATCTGTGCTTTCAGTGAGTCGTAATCTTTTTGCTGGTAGAGGATCTTGCCTCATTGTTGATGGCGGCTGAGTGATCAGGCTGATGTTTGCTGTAGGTTAGGGTGGCTAGGGCAATTTCTTAAAATAAAACAACAAAAAAGTTTACCGCATCACTTGACTCTTCCTTTCCTTTGAACATTTAAAGGCCATTGTAGAGTTAGTAATTGGCCTAATTTAGTATTGTTGTGCCTCAGAGAATGAGGAGGCCTGCAGAGAGGATGAGAGATAGAAGACAGAGATTCAGGGGAATAGCCAGGTCGGTAGAGCAGCCAGAATACACATTTATTGATTAAGTTGCCTTCTTATATGGATACAGTTTATGGCACCTTAAAATAATTACAATAATAACATCAAAAATCATGGGTCACAGATCACCATGACAGGTAAAATAATAATGACAAAATCTGAACTGTTGCCAGAATTACCAAAATGGCACCTGTAGACTTGCTTGACACAGGCTTGCCACAAACCTTCAATTTGTTTAAAAAAAAAAAAAAGAAAAGAAAAGAAAAAAATGCATTATTTGTGAAGCATAATAAAACAAGGTATGCGTGTATAAATGCTCTCTTATTAAGCCCCAGTGGCAAACTGTCTCCCCTCTAGGGTTTTTCCTTTTACCCCTAACATGTTTAGGAAAATGCTGTGAAGATGTGATGCACTTGGCACACAGTAGATCCTTGTACTTAATACATTTAATAAATATTGATTGATTGATTGATTGATGCCATGAATTGAGTTTACAGAGAATCAAATCATAGCAGCCCTTTAATTCTTACCTAAATGGTTTGCTTTTCTCCTAAGGGTGTCATTTTTTTCCCCTTCCCTCAGAAGCTGCTCAGCAGTCAAATGCCAGCTCATGGTTCTGGGAATGAGGCAAGCTCATTTATGTCATTTTGCAATCGTCCACCCAGAATCCTCTGGCAGCCCAGAGTTACATGGTGACATCTTTGAATGAAGCAAAGCCTGTTATAGAGATGCATTTATTCCAAGGCAAAGAGAATCACCAACTTAAAGGGGAAATCACAAACTTATTATATAGACTTTAAAAAAAAAACACTTGCTTTCTAAAATACAGTCCTTCTATAGGAGCTATTGTGGCACTGTGCCAAACTTGTCAGAATGGTACCTTAAGTATCAAAAACAGATGAAGAGAGAGATAGTGTTTCAGACTGGATCCAGAAAACCTAGCATAAAGTCAGGCTTGTAACACTAGTGCTGTGACCTGTGGCAGGCCGTAATACTGAAACTTTGAGTTTCCACATCTATAAAGTGGGGATAATATACTAGCACAGAGTTGTTGTAAGAATCAAATTAGATTGTTTATTGTCAAGTTCTTTGCACACTTTAAAGAGCTTTGTAAATGAAAATAGTTACAAATGCACCTGTTTATACAGGATTGATTGGATGTTGAGAATTATTATGGGATCACCAATTTCCTGATCCCTACATGTTAACTCCATGGATATAAATCTACCCTTTTTTGTGCAGTGCTTTGGTCTTATATGAGAGAGGTACACTGGAAACCTTAAATTATCTAATACAGGAAAGATCAATTGACCTTCCAAGGTTGGAATCTTTGGTTTCAGGAAGCCTGGGTATTTCAGACATGAGAATCATAAAACAGTTCCTTTCAGTTGGAAGCATGTTGGAATAGTTATATATGGAAAGAGGTGGGGGGAAATTAAAGTTAGTATTCGTCTCTGCCATGCAGGAGTAGAAACTACTTAATCCTTTAAGCATTTAGTGTCATATTTGGTTCATGTGGATGCTAGGGAAACTATTGTGAAGTAGCCTGTAATCATCTTGAGAACTCAATTTTCTCTGGATAAATTTGTCTATTAAAGCAAGTGACTAAAAAGTTTTCCACGGGAAATTATTATAAACAAATTTTCTTTGATCTCCAACATGTATAATTGGAAAGGTATTTTTTTTATCCATGTGAGTATATGGCTATAATTTTGTTGGGTCTACCCGATAGTTAGTTGGAAATCTGAATAAAGATCAAGGCCCTAGGTTCGTGTTGCAGAATTGCTGTATCACTGTGTTTTTTTATTTATCCAGTTGACATGACTCATTCATTTTCTGAACTCCTATCTGAAGAGAATGAAACATTTGTGCCTATTAGTCAACAGGAAGGTTCTCTAATGGGTGACTTTAATTCTGCAAGGTTGAATGAACCATTTAAAAATGATTTGAAGGGACTGATGTGGGGCAGAAGGGATCTGATACGTTAGTTTATAAACAGAATTGAAAATTTGTTATTTGAGGGTAGAAAAAGCTTTAAAACTGCTCACAGTCATACTAACCTATTTTTCCATTTATAATCTATTTCCTAAAATGATTTGTAGCACAGCTGTGCCATATGTCCCCTATGGGGACATTGTTTGTACCCACTGCTCAGCAGGATTCAGATTGGGACAGTATTCCTGCCTGGCAGATAGACCTTTCTTAGTACATGGTAACTTAGAATTATAGCCAGAAGCTCAACATGTATTAATACATCATGAACATAAAGTGGAGTTGGTAGCTAGTTTCCTCCCTGACTGAATTTCTGGTTCAAGAGAAAGGTGATTCTCCTGCCTGCCTCCTTCCTCTTTTTCCTGAAGAAAAAGAAGGCAGAAACTGAAAAGGAGAACCTGGTGTAATGAACTATTTATTATTTTGACTTCTAAGCCTTGGCACTCTAGAAGAGAAGGAACCCAAGTTTAAAGATGCTGTGTACCTGTATCCTTCCCCTTTCTATGGTTAACAGCGTCTTGACAGAGACTTTTGTTGAAGGCGGTATGGCTGTAAATAGCCCACAGATAACACAAAAGAAACTTAATAGCTGGTGAAACAACCTGACACAATAGGATGGACTTCTTCGGCTCCTAGTTAATACATTTAGTATATTCCTGTTTGATGCTTTGTTGTATGAAACCTTCCCTCCCTCCCTTTGAATTGGTTTGCTATAATAAGTATTATCTCCCATCTCTGTCTCCATAAGATTGAACTTTGTTCTCACTTATCTGTAGGCTCCAGGGGCTGGGGGGGGGAAATGACTTCTCTTTTTTCTTTCTTTAATCATTTACAGCGTTAAATGCAACACTCCTGTCTTTCCACGTTCGGTTTTGTCAGAAGCATCTGCTGGAAATGTATCCCCATTTAAATAGATGGTTAGCTATTTCTCTGTCATCAAAACTCAGTTCTAACATCATTTCCTCAAATAACAACAGGGATATGTCATGGTCTTCTTGTGTCCTTCATGGAAGGATATTCAAGTGTTTCCCAAATGTTATTTTACTGATCTTCAAAATATACCACTTCAATTGATAAATTGCTTCCCAGCCAGAAGCAATCTCTCCACTGCCCCTGAACTTTTATAGCCTGCATGACACACCTCTCTTAGGCACTTGTCATGTCCTACTTTGTATGATGGTTATTTTTGTATGGTTTATTTTTCCTACCAGATTGAAAGATCCTTGGAGAGGGTCTTTTGCCTCTTTATATTTTGCTTTGCACAGAGAAGAGGTTTTGTTGATTTTGTTGGTTGTTCAAGTAAAAAACATTTGGAACCATATTAGCTTGAATATAGGTCACTTTTTGACCCTAAATCTGGCTTGGAATGTGGGCACTAGATGGGTATAAACTGAAAATATTTGTTTCCTTTTCTGAAAGATCTTATTTTAGGTTTGTGACCTGTATTCTGGGTGGAAGACTATATTCAGATAAGTATTTGTTGGGGGCGGGGGAGACCTATTATTTCTGTGGAAGTTTCTGTGTGGAAACTCCCTTCATCAATGCAGATTGTCATCTCGTATTTTATACTCTTAGAGAGTTACTTAGGGCACTGAGAACGTTAAGTGACTTGCCCAGGGTGACATAGCTATTCTGTGCTAAAGGCAGTACTTAAACCCAGGTCTTCCTGACTCCAAGACTGGCCTTCTCTCCTTTGTGCCACATTACCTATTTGGATCAGTATAGTAATGAAATTCATCTTTCCTAAAAGCACACTTAAGTCCAAGAAAGTTGGAATAGTTTGTGCAAGGATATGTTGAGTCTGAAGAATCAGTTATTTATTGGACATGTATTAAGTGCACAATACTTACTAATACATGTATTAGGTGCACAACAGTATACTAGGGATTGTGAGGGTACTGTGGATAAAACATGGCACCTTCCCTCGAGGAACCTACAGTCTGAAAAAGCAACAGGACAACTTGTTCTTTGCTGATTTGTCTAATGTGCAGTTTTATTTTATAGGACCTGCAGGTCTACCACATTAGACAACCCCGCTTTAGATAAGCAACAGTGTGATATGGATAAGAAATGAGACATCAGCAGAGTAAGATAGCATATATGCCAACTACAGCCATATTAGAATAACAAGACTTTGTTCTTTGTATTGTCTTGTAAACACCTGTCAATAAACAGATACAAAAATGGACATAGAATAACATGGAATATTAGTATTTTTCTTCTCTTGTTGAAATTGGAGAATCTGCATGACGTGGTATAAAGATTATGGAATTTACTATTACAAATGTTGCAGCTGTTAACAGCTGGTAAGTTACCTTGGCAGGTCAGTTATTCTCTATAGATCTCAGTCTCTTCATATGGAAATTGAGCACTTTGGACTCGATGTCTCTTCCATCCCCAGATCCTGTTATCTCGTATGATTTCTCCTCAATTAGCATGTGAATCATTTGAATTTGTTGTTGTTCAGTTGTTTGAGTCATGTCCAACTTGGTGTGACCCTTTTGGGGGTTTTCTTGACAGAGTTCTTGAATGGTTTGCCATTTCCTTCTCCAAAGCTTATTGCTCTATTTGGCTTAATTGATTATTTGTTAAATTTCTAATTTGAGAAAAATGAATAAAATTCCTTTTACAAGGGGAGATAGAATACAAATTGCAGTAAGTAGTCCCATGGATAGATAGGTTCCTCTCAGAGAGGCACACGGGATGTCTCACCCTTTGTCCTTTCTGTAACATCTCTCTTCGTGAAGAGCACTGAAGTCTGCACCATGGTTCCGATCCTTTCTGAACACTCCATCCAGGAATAAAGGGCAGTGTTCTTTCCAAGTCAAGGATCTTGGCATTAACTCAGCTTGAGAATCTATCAGAAGGCACTCATGACTTGCTTCTTCCACAGGAATTCATTCGCCTGGGCAGCCTCAGTAAGCTGTCTGGAAAAGGGCTACAGCAGCGTATGTTTTTCTTGGTAAGTAAAGACAGCTATTTTGCACTTACTGTATACTTAAATGAAACCTAGTACCAGGGAATAAAATGGCATTGAGTTGGGTCATAAGGGAACTGGGAAGCAAAAAGGTAGTGATAACTCAGGCTCGAGGTCTACAGGTTAATGAAATGATATGAATCCATTTATAAACTTGGACTGCCTTTTTGATTTAGGGATCATAGTGTCTTCTTTCCAGTGTAGAAACTCCCTTCATCAATTAAGACTGTCAACTCATATAACTTATAGCCTTAGAGAGTGGCTTTACCGTACTTTGGGGTTTATTGTTATTAGGATTCCATATTTGGGTTTATTTGTTATTATTGGTCTCTTCAAATAGAGTCACTTCAGTTTTAAATGATCCTCCTTACCCTCCTAGTTTAATGATGTCTTGCTGTACACAAGTAGAGGACTGACTGCCACCAATCAGTTCAAAGTTCATGGACAACTCCCACTCTATGGCATGACAGTAAGTATGCAGTGGGTTAGCAGAATGATTCCAGACCTGGCGGCCTTTTGCTTGTAGTAGCTGATGGATTGTAGGTCGGGGTAGAAAGAAGCATGGGTTGTTGACATTTGTGGGCAAAAACTTTGGAACGTTTATAAGTGTATCGCAGAGACCTTCTTTATATTAGAACCCCTGCCTTGGCCAAAAGACAGATGGTTTTCCAGATTCTCTCCATTTTCCTCTCTTTCTTCTAACAAATGGGTAGGTGTAAAGAATGCTTGCCTTTCAGTTCTTCTCAACAGTGACATTGGGGAAACTTGCTCTGCTCTGATGGACCTAAGAATAGAAATGAGTTCTTGGGGGGCTGGTGAGAAAGGAAGGTAATGATGGCTTAACTTGCTTAACCCAGAGTAGATGTTGGGAAATTGGAGGTATGGTTTTATTCATCTCCTCAAGACTGCAAGGGACTTGTGATTTCATCTGTGAGGGTTCTACTTCAACCACTACAGGTCATAGCCCAACCACATCTTCACATCCTGTGTCTTTTTGCCAGAGGAATGGATGCCTTTTCTGGTTCTCTTAACATTTCTTCTATATAATTACTGATGCAGTTCCCTTCAGCGGACCCAGAAAGCAATGCCATCTTTAGATCCTCTATCCACTGATTAGATCAGGGTTTCTTAAACTTTTTTGTGTCATAGATGCCTTGGGCAGTCCAATGAAACCTCTGAATCCCTTCTCAGAATACTGTTTTTAAAATGCATAAAATACATAGGATTACAAAGGAAACCAATTGAATGGAAATGTAGTTATCACACTATTTAAAAAGCAAGCTCACAGTCCCCAGGTTAAGACCTCCTTGATAAGATCTTGCTTAGTGAGCTGGAATTAGTTTTTCCCCACCTCTCGAGTATCTTCCCAGTATTAATCCAAAAAGCATGCTGATGAATTGATCCTTGCCTCACTTACACACCTTCCCTCAACACTGCTTTTTCTTTCAGCTATAAGTGATTGGTCCCTTCTCAGATATTCTTCTAGCACTTTGTCTGGTTCTTTCCTTTGACCATATTATAGTCTGCCTTTTATTATATTTATTTGTGGACAGGTAAAAGAACATCATAGGTTCTGTGAAGTCAAAGCACTGCATTGTTCTCCATCTTCATTTCCACATTACCTGAGCATGATGTTGGTTGAATTGATTGTTGGCACAGCCCTGATATGTACATTGGCACTGTTGTGTTCATGGTTGAATCTCCCAAGTTTAGCAGAGATGTTAGTTTTCTGTGTGGTAAAAAAAACTACTTCTTTTGCTGTGTCTGTGCTTGAATGGAAGAGTTAAGCTTTTGTGTATGTTTGTATAATAGCTGTGGGTATTCCAAGTATATTTATTTAAAGTCTCAGACTGAGTGAAGGTAGAGGAATTACCTATGTGATTGATGATCCATTCCCCTTATCCATTTTATTATTCTGGTTTTCAATATTCATTCTTCATCCTTGGGATTCCCAGCTTAAAGTTATAGGATCACAAACTCTCACAGTTCAAAGGGACCTAAAGGCTGTTCAGTCCACATCATATCTGAACAGTAGTGTACTCTACAACATTCCACATAGATATTCATCTGAATTTCTCCTGGAAGACCTCTGGTGAAGGGGATCCTCTTGAGTCAGCCCATTCCAGGTATGGGCAGCTCTAATTGTTAATATTTTTCTTTACATCTTTACATCTAAATCTTACTGTTTTTCCTCTTTTGGAAAAAAAAGTTTTGCTTTTTATTCTGAACTTAACATCAAATAAAATGGACGTCATAGCTGTCCGTAGCTATATAAAAAATGAGAAGTTGATGATCTTCATTATGTACACTTCAGTTTTCTTTTTAAGCTAATAGATCGAACTGTAACTTTCAAACTAACTGTTCTACTTGTCTGCATTTCTTTCTGACCTAAATTTGACTATTTTCTGTTGAATTTTCTAAAAAGATGCCTCAATGATCCCCTTTTTTGGCTTTCCTATCCCCCTTCTTGCTCCCACCCTCCCGTTAGAAAAAAAAAAGGAAAAAAAAAAGCCCTTGCAACAAATGTGCATAATCAAGGGAATCAGATTCCCTTGATTTTAGCTGAGTCCATAATATATATCTTAAAGCATCTTGAGTCCATTACCTTTTCATCAAGAAGTGGCAAGAATTCTTCATCATTAGTTCTCTAGAATCATGGTTATCCATTGCATGGATCGGAGTTCTCAGGTCTTCCAAAGCTGACTTGTTTTTTGTGGGGTTTTTTGTGGGGTTTTTCCCATGATTTCTTATGGCACAAGAAATTCCTTTACATTCATTTGCAAAATCAGTTTAGCTACTTTTCAGTAGAGGGGCACTCCACTGGTTTCCCATTCTTTGCCATTAGAAAAATAGCTACTATCAATGTTGTACATATAGGTCTTTTTCTTGTTGCTCCGACCTCTTTAGGACAAGGTATGCACATTTCAGGGACTTATGTGACATCGTTCCAGTTTGCTTTCCAAAATGGCTAGACCAGTTCACCCAGCGATTCACTGAACCAAGACTTTGCGTTTATCTCCAGCTCGTTTCCATCATACTGGGCTCAGTCCATTTTTCTAGTCATTTGAGAGCTTTTTGGTTTCTGACTTAGTCATCCAACATGTTAGCTTCTCTTCCTAACTTATCATCTTCACGCTTGATGAGCCTGCCATCTATACCTTCATCTAAGTCACTGATAAAAAAGATAGAAGATTCTTGGGGCATTCTACTAAAGACTTCCCTCTAAAATGACATTAACCCATAAATGATCACTCTTTGGGCTCAAACATTCAACACAGTTTTAACTCCACAAACCATTCTAAGGTCTAGCCCATATGTCCATGAGAATATTCTGAGACTTCTGTATTTACACCCTTAAATTCAGGGGATGACTTGAATGATATATTTAGTTATTGTTTAAAAAGAAATTGACTTTTACTCCCTTCCTCAGCAGTTTTCTCTATCTAGTAACAGTCTGCTGTAAACTTGTATCTTACAGATAGAAGAAAGTGAAGAAGAGTGGGGTGTTCCTCATTGTCTTACACTTTGCGGTCAACATCAGTCCATTATTGTTGCAGCAAGGTAACTCAGTGAAGTAGCCTCTTACCTGTTGTTTTTTCTGTCATCTTCCTTGGGTCTGAAAATGAAATGTAAATTTCTATCTCCAGTTCTCGGATGGAGATGGAAAAGTGGATCGAGGACATACAGATGGCGATTGATCTAGCAGAAAAAAGCAGTGGCCCCACCCCTGAATTACTAGCAAGTAGTCCACCTGAAAATAGTAAGTATGGGGTGAGATGCAAACTTTACCCAATGTTCTCAATCAACCCCTGGCCCAAGATTAATTAGGGGAAAATAATTGTGATATGAAGGAAAATTAATAGTTTTTAAATCTCATTTCTGGCCATCTTATATGCCTGTGATATACTTTAGTATGTATGTTGGGAAATCAGGTATCCTAATAGTCAACTCATTAGAATTGTAAAGAGGGGAAGAATGTATTTGCAGGGGGAGAAGACTAAAATGATTTAGAACTTTTTATTGCTGTTTTTTGTTTTTACATTGCCTTAATTTCTCAACATATATGTAACCCTAACATACCCGAGAACTATTACTTATTAACAAAGAATGATTTCAGAAAAACTAACATAACCATCAACCAAGCTTGATATTATATGCCATATTCCCTATATATCAATGGTGTCTAATTCAAATAGAAATGGAGACGACTAAATTGCACATAAGGATCCCTGGGCTGATTTGTGCTGCACTTAGAAGTGTTTCAGGTCACATGCATGCTTGACACCTCTTCCATTCATAGTCCTCCACTTCTGTTTAGAAAAGGAGGAAGGGGAGGATGGTACATTCTCATCTGTTCTTTGGGAATAAGCTTGGGTATAACCTTACTACTTACATAATGAGGCAGTGGGTTAGAAAGAGCACTGGATCGATGAATCGGAAGACCTGAATTCAAATTCCGGCTCTGTTCCCTTAAGCAAATCATCAGCCCTATAGGCCTTAACTGCCTCCTTTGTAAAATGAAGGGCTTGAACAAAATGGTTTCTAAGGACCCCTCTCTCCAGCTTTAAATCCACACTCTCTGCCACCTATTTGGGGAAGGAAAGAAGGAAACCCAAAAGCCAGAGGGAGCACCAGAAGCCTCAGGTGTAAATGGAGTCCTTCAAAGTAAAAAAAGAAAGATGATTCATGGAAAATAAGTGAATGTTTCTGGTTCGGATAATGACAATTATTCTGTTTTAGACATCTGAAAGTGCATCATACTGTAGGTTGACAAACTGTCTCCAGAGAGCTCCAATGTATTTTATAAATCTTGGTAATGATAACAAGGAAAAATTGTGTATGTTTGCAAGAAGAGATGCTTTTTTACCTGCATTCCACAGAGTCCCCTGATGACGCCACAGCAGACCAAGAATCAGAGGATGACCTCAGTGCCTCCCGCACCTCTCTTGAGCGGCAGTCTCCCCACCGGGGCAACACTATGGTTCATGTCTGCTGGCACCGAAATACTAGCGTCTCTATGATCGACTTCAGCATTGCTGTGGAGGTATCTACCTGGGCCACCCAACTAGTGACTGCCTCCCAGGAACAGTACTTCCTTTTGGTCTAAGGCTAGCCTACCTTGAGCTTTTTTGCCAAGCTGAAACATGTTTCCCACCACTACCATTAGGGGTCCAGCTGTGTTCTGCCATTTTGAGTAATAGTCAAGCCTTGAAAATTAGAGTTTCCCTGTTGGGACCTGATGGGCTATTGCAATATTATCTGTGCTTGTGGAGTCTTCATCTATTTTTATCTAAACCCTAGGGTTGGTAAAATAGGGAAAAATGAATCTGAACTGAGAACAACCAAAGAAAACCTCATATAAAATTTTTCTATTACTGAGCACAGCGTATACATTCCCTCATACCTGGGAAAAAACAAAAGGGAATCATTGCTGTCTTGATAGGTGCAGACCTGTCTCTTGATTTTAATTCTTCTTTCTATATCAATAATCACTTTTCCTTTTTTTTTTTTTATTAAAGATGTCTCTTTGTGTGTTCAGTCCATTATGGCCTTTTCTTTACATGTGATTTGTATTCTGTCATTTCGTTCCTTAAATGGTGCAACTAAAATCTTGGCCACAGGCTAAACCAATTTCACAGCAGGTGCTCAGAATCAAGAATGGTTGGGGTGGGTGGCTTGCTGGCTCACTAGGAGTGAAATATTTGAAGAAAGGCATTTGAAATACTAAGAAAGCTTACTTTTAGGCATCTGGTGCCTTTCATGATAGTCTTTATTTAAATATGGAGATGGTGGTGCAATACTTTATAGAAACCGTGATTTTTTTTTAAAGATGCACTTATTTTTCCTCAAAATGATAGCAATAGGCAAGATACCTTTGAGCAGAAAGCTACCTCGGGGTAACAGTTCTTACCCTTTTCAAGATGATGTACTTTTAACATTGCAGCAGTTCACAGACCCCCAAATGAGAGCTGTGCTACTAATATTTGCTGATATAGACAATACATGACAGAAAGCTACTACTCAGCAATGCTTTTAAATGGATTCATTAATTATAGCATGATCTACATACATTTGAAATATTTTGAAATAGATCGAAACATATGTGAGACAGTCTTATGAAGGAATATTTGCCTATATTGCCCTGTGTAATTTATTAGAGCTAAAGAATGATACTGGCAACTAGATGGCACAATGGATAAAATGCCAGTCCTGGAGTCAAGAAGACTCCTTTCTCTGAGTTCAGTGCCTGCCTCAGAGACTTACTAGCTGTGTGACTCTGGGCAAGTCCTGTTTAACCCCCATTTGCCTCAGTTTTCTCATCTGTAAAAATGAGCTAGAGAAGGAACTGGCAGACCACTCCAGTTATCTCCACCAAGAAAACCCCAAATGGGATCACAGAGAGTCAGACGTGACTGAAATACAACTGAATAACAAAAAGAGTGGTTAGGGGCAGCTAGGTGGTGCAGTGGATAGAGCACCAGCCATGGATTCAGGAGGACCTGAGTTCAAATCCAGCCTCAGACACATAACACTTTACTAGCTGTGTGACCCTGGGCAAGTCACTTAACCCCATTGCCTAGCCAAAAAAAAAAAAGAGTGGTCAAAACCATCCTACTTTGTGTTTATTTGGATCAGAGGACCCACAAATAGCAACTGCTGTTGGTAATAGTTTCATTGCCCTCTCCGGGGATCCTAAGCCCATAGGCTGGGAACTCCTGCATTAACAAACTCTTTAGAAGGAAGTATCTCCAGGCCTAATCTTGGTAGGGGGAAAAGGAAAATTGTTATATTGCCCTGTGCCTCAGAGGCATAGGGACTGGACCCTTTTATTGTTATTTATTATGATTTATTATATATTATTATTTATTGTTAAATAAACATCATTTATTTATTGGTAAAGGGAACTCCCAGGTCAGCAAACTCCTTGTACCATTACACGTTGGCTCCTTCCCTGGCAGTTTATAGTCTTAGAAGGTTGCTTAGAGCATTGAGAGGTGGTAATTTCTGGCCCAGAGTCACATACCTAGTATATGTCAGAGGCCCAATTTGAACCCAGATTTTGCACACTTCTGCTACTTTATTAATTCCATTTAATCTCATTTTATATAGTATAAACAGACACCCAGAAAGTGGTATCTAAGGGGTATTGGGGGGCAAGGGGTACCACTTATCCTATAGGATGGCTTTAGACTGTTTTAGTTAGCATGTATTATACTCATAGAGCAGTTTGCCTGATTCATTTTGTCCCTTATGCACAAATGGATCCAGAAACTGGAAGATATATAAACCATTTTGTCTTAAAATGAAAATCTGGTGAGGTCGATTGCTTTTGTAACTCCGGGTCTACCCTGGAGCCTACGCTTGGATGCAGAGAAGCAAGCAAGCTTGACTTTTTGTCATGTGCTGTGACACTGATCTTGGAAAAGTGGCTACTAAACTATGAATCAATTTCCATTCAAGAGGTGATTTGAACATAGTCTTTCAAGTTATGTTCTAACACCCACAGTCTTGAAAACTTGCCCACATGTTTGCTTGATGAAAGTCTTGTGGGTGGTTTTGTTCTTCCCCCCTTAGAGGTAAACACTACTCACCCTTGTGTCAAGAGTTGTTTGCCAAAGCAGTTTATAAACTATTGGTCCTTTAACCCAAGAGAAGTGGATCTGGTGCCCCACAGGTTAGCAGCAATGCCCAGCCTGCATCATCACATTCCATCCTTCCCAGTTACCCCCTATATCTAGGAGCCACCCTTTCATTTTCATCCTTTTCTTGGTGTGACTTTCTTGTGGGCATTAGGGTTTATTCTTGTCTCTGTGGCTCTTCTTCCCTTTTACCATCTCTCCCCTCTCCACAGTTTTCCGCCCCTTTTCGAGGTTGTCCTTCGTGGCCTGTTGAGCTGATCAGTGGTCAGCAAACTGTTTCCATTTCACACCTCTGCAAAGTGCCATTTTGTGAAATCTTCCAGATGAGTGAGGTAACCACAAAGGAAAAAGGGCCTGCTTATGTATAGGGAGGAGAAGGGAAATGGATAGCTGTCTTATTTTTTTAAAAATGAATCAAAATTAAAAAAAAAATCTTACCTATCTGGCTAAACTCTAGGAAGGGGGAATATTTTGGGGAAGAGAGAAACCATGATCTGTTCTTCCTCATGCCTTTGCAGCATTTGAATGCTAGAAGCTGGCTTTTGTGACACTAGAATTTGAGGGAATCTTTATGGACTCAGAGCCAGTGGGGTCAGGGGGTTGAGTCCTAAAGCTAGTACAGACCCTCTGATCAGAGTAAAGTGGCATCCTGAGATACACCCTGTGGTGCTTCAAGCCTAATTCCATTTAAATAACAAGTCCTACTGGGCATAACTCTCCTTTCCTAGATGGTAGAGGTGATTTTGTACAATTATGGTCATGAATTATTTAAGTGGCTCTAAGGCATTTTAGAAATCTCTTCATGAAGATGTCCTTAGCCAGTCAGGAAGCACTGAAAAATAGGATTCATAAATGACTGCAGGAGTGTTTCTGGTTTGTTACATACTCATGACTCTGATTCCAGGCAACATTTTCTGTGAAAGGCCCATTTTTCTCATGTAGCTTTGTCTTCATGCACAAACATGTGAGGTATTTATTCTAGGCATTACAGATGGCGTAGTAGCATAAACAAAGGGGATACTATCATAAGACATATTCAGAAGGGTAGTGAAAATAGTTACAATAGAATTGAGGGTCTTTAACATTGGAAAGTTTGGTAGAGCCTAGGTTATTGTGGACCTTGGATGTCAGACTAAGGATTTTGGACTTGATCTCTTGACAAATAGAGTATCCTTGAAGAGGGGAGAGTTGACATGATGAAAGCTAAGGAGTAAATCTGACTGTAATGTACAGGATGGATTAGAAAAAGAGTAGCAACAGGGATACCGGTTAGGACAGCGTATGCTAGTTTTGTCATGAATTAAAAGTCGCCTTGATATAGGTCATAGCAGTGGAAATGAAAAGGAAAAGATGGAAGCAAGAGATTGAGCAAGACTTAGTTACTTATTGGATATGGGGAGCAAGGGAGAGGGAGGAAGGAATCAGAGACATCAAATGATGATTAGGGAAAGGAAATTCGGAGGAAGACTAGTTTTGAAGGGAAGATAATGGGCTCAGTTTTAGACTTGTGAGATGGGATATTCAGGTACAGCCATCCAGTAGGCAATTGAAAATATAGGATCATTGATTAGAAAGAGGTCAGGAATAAAGATGGGAAAAGTCATTAGAGTGGATGATCTTCCAAAGGAAAGGTTGTTCAGAGAGAATTACAAAAGGGGCAAGCACTGAATCTTTGCATGCAGACACATTTGCAAGCGAGAAGATAAAATAGGAACTTGCTGGCAAAAAAGTCAGACGTGTCATCAGAAAAGTAGGAGTCCCCTAGTGCAGTGTCACTAAAACCAACAGACTAAACGTTGCACATGAAGAAGAGTGTTTCATGATGTGAAGTGCTGGGCAAGAGAATGGGCTAGAAGAAGATCACTGGATCTGATGACCAGTAGACATTTCATTAGGATGGTGAATGGACAAACTGTAGGCTTTCTGGTTAACTGCTATGAACATTCTGGCTCATCTAAGTTATATTCTGTATTAGTTCGTGATATATCACAATGGGAACTTCCTATTACATGCTTGTTTTAAAGTGAAATTGATAGAAGGCTTATGTCTGTCTCTTAACCAAAGGAGCTTTTACTCTTGAATTACCCAAAGCACCTCATTTTCCAGAAGACTCACCTGTAAATGGTGAAACCCATCATATGACCCTCCCCTAATATTTCAGTAATACAGTGAGTCTGCTATATACTGTTATTTGATATTTAACCTTAAATTCTATAGGATCATGGCTCTTAACCTGTACTCTAAAAGGGGTCAGTGGAAAGATTTCAGGGGGTCCATGAATTTGGATGGGGAAAAAATTACATCTTAATTTTCATTAATCTCTGACTGAAATGTAGTTTATTTAAAGACACTATTCTGATGAGGGGTCCATAGGCTCCAACAGAATGCCAAAGGAATACAGCACAGTAGACTGGAAGTCGGGAGAGTCGAGTTTGAATGTTGCCTCAAGATACTTAATAGCTGTGTGATCTTTGGGCAAATCACTTAACCTTTCTCAGCCTCAGTCTCCTTGTTTATAAAATGGAGATCATAATAGCAGCTACCTCACAAAGTTGTTGTAAGGATCAAGTAAGGTACCACATGTTAAATGCTTTGCAAATCTTAAAGAGCTATAGAATAGCTATCATTTGGGGCAGCTAGGTGGTGCAGTGGATAGAGCTCCAGCCTTGGAGTCAGGAGTTCAAATCTGGCCTCAGACACTTGATGCTTACTAGCTATGTGACCCTGGGCAAGTCATTTAACCCCCATTGCCTACCAAAAAAAAAATAGCTATCATTTGTTGTTATTACATGACACAAAAAAAGTTAAGAGAACTCCAATTCTGGATCTCAAAGGCCACCCAGTCCAGTTTTCCCATTTTATAGATCAAAAACACTAAGGCCAGGGGAAGTTAAGCTGGCCAGATCAAACTGATGTTAAGCATCAGAGGTAGTATTTGAAATCTAGTCCTCTCAACTTCAGGGTCAGTGCTCTTACCTCTCTGCTGTAGCTATCAAAATCTTTTTTCTAGGTAACATAAAATAGCCACTTCATCTTAATGCTCTTTAAACAAGTTACCAAGTATTTTCTGCTTCATCCTTTCATGGCCCGTTTGGGGAGGCGGGTGTGATGGGGGCTACCTACCGTACATTGCTTTTCAACCACCCCGGTTACCCATGAGTCACACGGAACAATGCTATGTCATTGTTAGGTAGAAAACAGATAAAGTGTTACTCTATCTTCTTAATTCAAGTTGTGGGAAACACAGAGCCGATTATGCGTATCTGCTTTCTTCGGCCCTTGCCCAGGAACAAAGGACTCAAATGGCCATTTTCCAAGGCTGAGGTTTGCTGCCTGTTTGACTAGCTCCCTTCTCAGGTGTGGAAACTCCATGCTGAGGGTCATTTCCTGGTTCAGGCAGGATTTAAACTTTCTGTTCTTGGGAGGTTCAGAGTGAACCTTTTCATTTTTGCTGACAGTCCTTCCAGCTCCTGAAATAAACCCCCAGATCTTTGCCCTTGGGCCAGAGGAGCAGTCTCCCACACTGAAATGACTGTTCCTCAGGAGCCCTCTCTTTGTCTGAAAAGAAGAAAACTAGGCAGCTAAACAAAGAGGCCCTAGGAAGGTGTCCTCCCTTGGAAGGGAGGGCAGGATGCTTAATCTCTACTACTCAGATTTTCCAAGGGGAAAGGAAGGAAACTTTAAACCTCCATCTCCCGTAACTTTAAAAGCAAGGGCAGGATCTCTTTTATTCTCTACCAAATGAGCAGTGCCTTTATTCTCCTTGCTTTTTCCCCATACCTATCCAGAACTGGGAAGCCCTGAGCAAAGTTTAGGAACGACCTGTCATCTGGGCACAGCTACAGTGAACGGCTTTGCTCTTGCTGCTAAACACTAGATGGCGATAAATAGCTGTTTAACCTTTACTCACAACTGGGCTGTCAGGTCCTACTGCATAGTCCCTTAATGAAGAATGCAAAATGCTTACATTTGAAGAAATGTAAGACTTGAAGAAAAAATTCCAAGCTTGTTGAGGGATGATTGAAGAATTAATCATACTAAGCTTATCTAATTCCACAAGGATTTCTGCATTTAAAGAATAGCAGCAGATATTTTTCCCCCCTTAGGTTATAGACAATCTTCATTTAGAGGAAAATTAATTTTTCTAGAAATACATATATATATATATATATATATATATATATGTATATGTATCTCACACCAGGAAAGGCTGGTGGGTCATTTGTGGAAGTGTTGGGGGGGGGGAGGTATGAAATTTCCTTTTACATGGGGTTTTGCTTCTTTCCAGACAAGGGTTCTCAGTTTTCAGTGTGTGTGTGTGTGTGTGTGTGTGTGAGAATGTATGTATATATGCTCACACACCTTTTCTTGTTATTCTCCATTTCAGAATCAGTTATCTGGGAACCTGTTAAGGAAATTTAAAAACAGCAATGGATGGCAGAAGCTCTGGGTGGTATTTACCAACTTCTGCCTGTTCTTCTACAAATCACACCAGGTAAATACCTTGTGTGGCTTGATAAGCTTGTTTCTACAATGGGATCGAATCAAGAAAGTGCATAGAGATCTGGGAGTTATGCCTGTAGGCATGGGATAGAACTGAGTCCAGCCTTCAATAGACTTGGTCATGAGCTGCTTTCTGAAGCTTTTCCAGATTTAAAACTTGCCTCATGGCTTTTTCCTTCTAAATATGGCTTCCACACTGCATTTTGAAGCTAGCACTCCAGGAAGCCTTCCTGAAAAATGGTAGTGGATTAACTCAAACCTGTAAATCAGGGCTGTGCATAAAGATTTGTAAATGAGACAAAATGTAGATGCTTCTAACAACTAATTCAAAAAGCATAATAAGGAGGTCAAACTATGACAATGGGAATGGTAATTAAGGGAGTTGTATTTTGAATTAATGGATCAGTGACCCTGGGGGGGGGGGGTGTTTGCTTTTTTCCCCTGCAAGGACAGGTAATAACCCATTCTCCAAGATATTCTATGTATCTGTGGACATAGTGAGGAACTAAAGTGGGGTCACTCGTACTGTGGAGCAGTACTGGTTATTTCAGATGGGTGGAGACTGGCTCTCCTTTGGTCCAGAGGCAGACAGAGGTGATCCTAGGCAAGCATATGCAGACTCCTAGATTGTATTCCCAGGGAGAGTTTCTCTCTTGTCCCTCTGTACCCTAACGTAGTTTGGTGTCAGGCCGGTTTAATCCAAGTGACATCACCAACTGAGAAAGCCTCAGGTTAACATTTAGGCTCCCAAGTTTTTAAAGACAGCACTATTGAAAGCCCATTTCATGCCAAGGCCCAGTGACAGGATCAGTGACTGAGCATATCAGTGTTGGGCTGTTACTCAGGAGAAGGCCTCTGAGGCATGTAAATGGCTCAGCTTGGCATTTTCATTTCCATTAGAAAGCTAATGCAACATTTTTGCTGCTAGAATGAAGCTTTTGAACATAGAACATAGATTCGAGCTTAAGTGTTGTCCCTGGAAGACACCCAAGGAGAAATGAGGGGCTAATTTAGGGCCAGGTAATAGGGAATTCATGCCTTAGAATTTTACAGAATAACCTGGGGCCTTTCTTAGGCAGCTAGATGATACAATGGATAGAGGACTGGGCCTGGAGTCAGGAAGATTTGAGTTCAAATCCAGCCTCTGACACTTAAGGACTATATGACCCTGGAAAAATCACTTTATCTGTCATACAGTTTTGTCATCTGTGAAATGGGGTTAATAATAACACCTACCTCCCAGGGTTATTATAAGGATAAAAGAATTAGACATTTATAAAGTGCTTTGCAAACCTTAAATGTGGTTTTTATTATTCACTCAGCTAGGGCCCAAGAGTGGAAAAAAAAAAAGAATCAGGTTTCACTTATAAAAAAAATTTAGATATAGGTGACATCAATTTAAAGTTTACATCAAAGGTAGTCTAACACAGTAGTGTTAAACTGAAATAGAATGCATATTGACTTAGCTTTAGAATGTAATGTTGTCTATGTTTTATTGTATTTTTTATTTTAAATATTTTCCAATTCCATTTTAATCTGGTTTGGCCTGTACTATGGAGTATTGTGGGCCACATATTTGACGTCTCTAGTCTAAGGGATACTTTTGTCCAGGTTTAAACACAAACTGCCATTCAAAGTCATGTCCAGGTGTCCATTCCTGCCCCAAAGTGCAGCACATGTCCAAACATGGAGCAGCTAGGACACCAACTTGCCCTACTCTTAAGACTCTCATTTTCCTGTTAAGCATTGTCATAGAAGAGGAAGAGGGCAAAGGGCAACCAAGAAAGATCAAACTGGTTCTAACTCCTCAGTGTAAGCTTCTGGACAGTATCTGAAGTTAGTGCATAGGTCAAGTTTTCCAAGGGAGAATGGCATCAGTCACTTTTATGTGGGTTTGTTCATCTTAGAAAAGAGTTAGTCGATTAGGGGCAATTATTATCCACCTTGGAGGAGAAAAGAGTAATTATTTAATTAGTCCCAACTGTCAGAAACTCTTTATGGTTAAGTAGGACTGGGTGGACCAGTTAGCCGGGATTACATAGCTATAGATGCTACCCCCAATCTAATACAGTTGTAGAGAAGTTATCAAAGGGTTCCATGGATTAACCAGTGCTGATGAAAAAACCGTTACTAAGGCTCTAGAGACAATTTACGAGATGCTGGTTGAGCTGACATCTGACTACTTTCAAAACCTGTTCTACTCATTATTTCTAGGACAATCATCCCTTAGCCAGTCTGCCTTTATTAGGATATTCACTCACCATTCCCTCGGAATCAGAGAACATTCACAAAGACTATGTGTTCAAACTACACTTCAAGTCCCATGTCTATTACTTCAGGGCTGAGAGCGAATATACATTTGAAAGGTAGGATTTTTTGTCTGTCTGTACCTTGTTTGTTAAGAGCCAGGCTTTCCCTGCAATGATGGAGTTAGAGCTTCTTTTGGCTACAATAACTTACTCCCACTGTACGTCATCATGACTCTGTGCGCTACGTTTCACATGCAATAATTAACTTTATTTGATATGGATGGGAATAGTCCTATCTAATCATCAGTCTAATGCTAGACCATACTTTAGTTCCATTTAGAGCCGCCGAAAGAAGAATCCGCTAAGTGAGTAATGGCATCTGTGCTTCATTTGGTACAATGTGGGAGAAATCATGTTATAGAAATCAAGTGATGTTTCCTAGTATGAAGCAAAAACAAACTGTGTGGGTGAGGTTAGTGTAGGACACTAATTCACCTAAACACTCACAGCTACCAAGAAACTGTTATTTGAACGGGGGCCATCTTTCATCCGGGTGCTCAGGATTGCATTTGCCTTTCTCATGTCTTTTCCCTTGGCCTCCCTGGGAATCTAGTCCCAGCAGTAGTTCCTTGTGCCAAACGAAGTAAATGGGTGAATGGAAATGATGGGGGTGGGGGAAAGAACTTGCTAATGATGGTCTGATGCAAAGAAAACAAAAATCAGCTTCTTCCTCTGGTCAGAGGGTACTATAACCAGAAAAGAAGAGGCGATCCAAGATATCTGAGAAGAGATAATTGATGGGGGAGGGAAAAGCAGTACTCACCTGTTTATAAATAGTTTTCATAAGCAAAGGATATGAAATAAATTTGAATACTCAGGTTGAATGGCTAGTGAAAGAAAATATATGGCTTAAGTAAATACATTATAAATGTGTGTGTCATATAAATGTTGCTGATAGCATAGGAAAAGTCGTTGATCTAAATTTTAAGGTTAAAAAAAAAGCAACTAAAACTCTAGATGACAGTCCAGAATGTAAAGTCTAATCTTGCACTTGGAATTTAGGTTTACAGATATATATACTCTCATTCTTATGTCTAATAAATAATTTGGCAAATGCTAATGGAGACATTCCTGCAAAAGGAACCTTTGGAGTATCCCTAGTGCCATGAAAAAGAACGAACCAGCATTTTTTCTTCCCAAAATGCACCACCCAGAACGAAATGCAGCATTCTGAATGGGGTCTGATGGAAGCACCTTAGGACCATCATGTTTCTTGTTCTGGACAACATGCTCAACAACTGATAGCAGTCCACTGAGCCTCCCAGATCTTGTTTGTGAAGATGATTTTTAAACATTATATAATGCAGGGTATCCTTTTAAGTTTTACTAGTTTATCTAATGAAACTAAATAGGATGATGAATGTGAAGTTTTACATTGTCACTGTCAGAAGCTTACACTCCTTGTTATATATCTAGTTCGATCTTGTGAAATCTTGACTGATTAGCATTCTCTTAACTTTGTGGTATCTGCAAATCTGACACATGCACCTTCTAGGGATTCATCCAAATCACTTATAGAAATATTGAACAGTACAAGGCCAAGGGCAAAACACTCTATGGGAGACTTCCCTCCCAAGTGGTCATTCATTCACTTAGAACCATTCTTTGCAATGGTCATTCAGTCAGTTCTGAATCCTCTTATGTTATAGCAGCATCTTACTCACAAACGAATGCATGAGATGTTTTGCATAAAAGCACGTATCTGTGTCATGCTGTCAGAAACAGAAGTGAAGTTAGTCGAGCGTATGACCTGTTCTATGAAATTATGCTTCCCTTTTAAAGTGCTCACAAACCACCAACCTTTTGTTTCAGGATTTTGCCCCAATTCAAGTTTACTGGCCTTTAGTTTCCGTATACCAGTTGGTTTTGGAAAATCAAGCCATCATTTTTTGCCAGCTCTCCCGTTTTCCAAGATCTTTCAGAGGTCACTGAGAATGACTTGGCAATCACATTTCAGGATGGAGTTAGAGAACCCTCTCTTTTGGCTCCAAAAACATGAGGTTTCATCTATCCCTAATATTATCTTTGTTCTCAACTTATTTTCCTTGGAAGAGAAAAGCAATATGGGAGCCGAGAGATCCAGCCTTTGCACCCACCTTGAGCATTGAATGGTCATTTACTTGCTCTCCCTCTTGCCTTTTTTTCCTTGAACTTAACGGCCAGCTTCACTTTGGAGCTTCCAGATTCTCTTCTTACAAACACACTCCTCTGGTGGAATCATTCTGTTAAGTGCCCTTGTTTTCATCTTTATGATCTGAGTTGGTCTGTTTGGTTCAGAGTACACAGAGTACACTCTTCAGGCAATTTTCCCTTTTTTTACTCAGAATCACATCTCTCCAGAATTTCATTTTGAAAGTGTCACAATCCTTTGGAGTAAAATTCACCTGCAGAATACTAGGTCATGGAATTATGCCACATGCTTTCCTTGAACTTTTGAACTGACCTCCCCAAAACAGACTATATCAGATTTTGCTCCCCTTATTACAAACTCTATCATGTAAATTTGTCCCAAAGTTCCCTTTATTTCTCCTTCAGTAATTCCAGAATGACAACTCCTTTTTATCACTTCTACTTGTAGAAGGATGAATCAACAAGCCTTTATTAAGTGATTACTGCGTGCCAGATGCTGCAGAAACAAAGAAAGGCAAAAACAGGATGAAGGATGAGGAAAGAGAGTTTTTGATTTCCTCAGTTAAACATAGATTTTTCAGTGTCAAGTGGTCAAAGAGACTATTAAAAACTAAAAGGTAGTTTATTTGAATTCAGTTTAAAATATCAGCTTCTTGTCACTTCTTTACCAAAGTGACATGTAGCTTGTGATGGATTATTGAGTAAGAGGCATATACAGTATAGGGTTTTAAACTACTTAACTATAGCTGGATATGGTGAAAAAACAAAACAAAACACATGCTTAAAGACTCTGAGCTGGAAAGAGACCTTAGAGGTCATACCAGATCTCTAAGAACTTTCTAGCTATAGGTCCTACACTCTAGTCCATTTCATTTTACAGATGAAGGAAGTGACACCTTTGGATGAAGGTTGGCTACTTGAATCTTCATCTCCTAACTCCAAATACAGTGTGACTGATCTTGAGTCAGACACATCTGCTTCTAGGTTGGAGCAGATTATCTCTACAGTCCCTTCTAGAATCCCATATTGATTCTTCATTACCGACACTTGCCCACAGAAATCATCAGCATAGTTAAGATTGTGTGGGTTGGTTAAAAAAAAATTTTTTTTGGAACAGAAATGGGAAGAATCTAATCTTTTGTTTTCCCCATCTAGGTGGATGGAGGTGATCCGGAGCGCCACCACCTCTGCCTCTCGAGCTTGTGTTTTAAGTCACAAAGAATCTCACGTGTATTGATGGCAGAACACCTACATTTCTCGTTCCAGCGGTTGCTGCTTTTCTAGAGGACGTTTGAAGTTAATTTCTCCTGTATTAACGAAGCCTAGTAAAATTAAAACAAGTGGTTTTGCAGCAACTCTTGTCTGTCCCAGCAAAACTGTTTTTTAATCTAGTCTTTTCAGCTGTTGACTCCCCATCCCAGTGGTAACAGAACCCCACCACCTCCTGTCCTGTGTGGCATTCTGTGGGTCCTTCCCTTGGTGTGCTGTGTTTTGTTTTTGGTTTTTTAGCTTATGCCAGTATTAAAATATCGTTCTTAGAGTGCCAAATGACATTTCCTTTCCTCCAAGATCGCACCTTAAAAAGCAGTACAAATGTACCTGCCCCCTCCCAATGAGAAACGTGATCCCATGTGCAAGTGCTATTTCTTTTTCTTAAAAAAAAAAAAGGGAAAAAAAACTTTTTATTGTTTTGATTAGTAGACTGCATTTTTAAATGTAATAATGGCTTTTTCAAAGTGTATGATACATACACGATAGAGGCAGTCTTACAGTAAAAGGAGGTCATTTTCAGATTTTGTTTTTCAATCTTTCTACTTTATTAATCAAGGAATTCCTACTAATTTTTCTATTGTTATAAAAGTTTGCAGCACACAAACAATATTTCACTTTGGGGTTTCATGTTATAATGAGCTACTCACTCTGACATTTATCACACCTTTGTCTTGGTGCAAGTTGACCAAACTGTTTACCTGTTAATTTTGAGACGTGATGACTATTTGCAAAATGTAGTTTGTTTTTTAAAAGAGAAACAATGAAACAGAAGTCCAGTGCAATATTATTTGGGCTATAAATGTACTGTGAATGGTGTGTACAATGGGAAGATATTAAGCTGTGGTGTTTCGCTGTTTGTTTCACAAGCATGAAAAATACCTGTATGTCATTAACCATGGGCCACTTGTGACATGTTAAGTTATGAAGAGTGTTTTTTGTTGGCTTAAGTGGATGCAGAAACACTATAAAAGTAATGGTACTTATTCCCCTTCCCCAGGCTTTCATTATTAAGACCTATATCCTACTGAAAAGAATTCATTTAAAACGAAACATTCTATGGGCATACAGATTGTGATAGTCTCTTCATAAACAGGACTCTGCTTTTATCTACCCTTTGCCCTGCGGTCATGGGTTATTAACAATAGTTTGATATTTCATGTGCTGGACTGTTGGTATCCACAGGGAACTGGATGCAAAGATAGGCTGCTTCTGAAACATCCATTTAAATATTCACACTACAAAAAACATCTATGACTGTTCCCTTATGGGCTTAAGGCCTTTTCTAATGCAAGTCTAAAAAAACCACAGAAGAGCAAGACAGCAGGTCAATTAACACACCTCTCTTCCCCCTCCCCCACCAGCCTAATTGATGCTGCCTAATTGAGGATTCAAAGGAATGAATTTTTGCTGGAATACACAGACTTCACGGAGCTGAGGCTGGCTTTGATACAAATGGAAACTGCAATTTTCAAATGGACTGGTAGCTTTAGACTTGTTAATCACTTGCCTTACAACATGTACCAGACGGTTTAAAGTACTAACAACAAAAGGGAATAAAATTACCTCACACCACTACTGAGCGTACTGCAGTTTGAAGGCAATACAACTTGTCCTTTTGTTCTTCCTCCTCCCTCTGATCTGGGGTGGTGGGATTATCACCCTGCACACTGCAATTTCCTTGCCAGGGAGGAAAACTCAGTAAGAAGGCAATACTAGAGTCAAAAGAGGATGAACTGATGAGGTTAAATATACTAAACTGTAAGCAGTCACAGGGTAAAAGAGTAATCTCCAATGTCAATGCCACCACCATAAGAAAATCGGGAGCAAAGGAGGTGAAGATACCACTTCTCCCTCTCCCCCACTGCTTCTTATTACTGTGTATACTTCTCCCTCCATCATTAAGCTATACTGACAGGAAAACCCACAGAGCTAAAAATGGGACTTGAAATATCTTTTGGCCTAACCTCATTTTTAGATGGGCACCTTGAGGATCAGAAAGATGAAGGGACATGCTCCAGATCACAAAGGTGGTGAGTGTTAGAACGAAGGCCTACAAAACTTACTGAGGACAAAAATGGCTTTTTGCAGTATGAGGAGTTCATTACCTCCCAACAATCAAAGTGTCTGGCTGACTATGCTCAGCGCAGCTACCCGAGATACGTGGCAGCTATCTTCAAGTTTGCTCTTAGGAAGAGTTAAGATAAATTGGTGACATACCAGTTATGACTTTTTGCCAACAGCTGTCTACTTGTCCACACCATGAGGGTAGATAAGCAAGGTGGGAGAGAACAACTTTGTGAAAGAAAGGAGATCCAGAACGAAAAAAAAAAATCCGAAACAAGCCCAGTTATCATCCCCCTATCTTGGCTCCTGACCTGTCCATCAATCAGGAATGGTTAACAGTCATTAACCATTAGCCCTAGTTTTCCAACAGGTCTGAACCAAGATAGGAGACTATCTTCCCTGTGAGGATCAATGCCTGGCTGATGGTGTACTTTAAAGATGAAATGCAATTTTCAGAATCATGGCCTCATGGATGTTTACATCTTCCAGAAGAATTCTATTCACTGACTTTTCATGTAAACCTTGACCTAGCAAGTGAGTTTTCGATTACAGTCCAAATGACAAGTATGGGCACATCTTGACTTGAGGCACATTAAAATGTTTACATTTTAAAAGCCATTTGTGGCATGAAGTGGTCTCTGTGTCAACATTTTCTACTAGATATACAGTTCCAAATGCAAACGAACATTTTCAGAGAAATTTTTTTTACAATAATGTCATTTCCCCTCCCCCCCAACATCTCTCCCTTTCTTTTTCTCCTCCCAAAGTACATCAATAATTTCCCCTTAAGTCTAATCTACAGGTGCTTACTAACCATGCATATCAAATGCTATTAAATGTCCCCTTTATTTTTCTATTGCATAAGCTTACAATGCATTGTTTAGCTCCGAATCCAATGATTGTTGGGGGTTCTTTAAAGTATTTGCATATATGGGAGGGGATAGGATTGGTGAACAATGCCACATATGATACATAACATCTCAAGGGCAATTTTTCTCAAGGTTGAAAATTGATTAAAATCCACCCACTGGTCCCAAGCCATTACTGGATTTTTAGAGACATCACATAAACAAGTTACTAAAAAAAAAAGCACTTTCTGTGTTCTTTACTGTCCCTTACGTTTTACAGTACCTGTGCTTAAGAACATTTCCTATGGCTCTACCTTCTCATTGCCATTTGTGTGACAGAAATACAGTATTATCTATGTTTTTGCTTTTAGAGGAAGAAAGTATAAAAAACTTACAAACTGACCATATGTTTAAAAAAAAAACGCGCGCACACATACACACCATGCTACATAAAGACCAAGAACTGAACCAGACACTTTATAAGTACAACTAATGACTTCTGAGGGGGGAAAATAACTGTCAGTAAGAGAAATAGGAGAATCATTTCATTACTTCGACAAGGCATTTGTCTATTACAACAGCAGGCCCCAACAAGGCAGAGCTGATCCATTCCATTAGTACAGTTCCAGGGACGATGCAAGGTTTTCAAAATGGTAAGGTAGACCACCTCCAATACCGAGTTGGACACGAGCTTGCCTTAAAGCCTACGGATGTGGTCACTGTCTGTATCCAAATAGAATGACTAACTTCAAGGCCTTTTTCTATAATGAACTGAGAGATGAGTGTGGCCAACTCTCCCAAATCATAAACCAGCCTACCCACCCTTCTCCCCCCCCCCCACACATGCACATGCCTTTCTTTCCATTGCTTTTTGTTTGAGAAAACAAAATCATTTTCTTTAAGTATCACAGCTCTAGTAAAAGCAGTTAACTTCCAGCCTATCTCTACAGGCACATGAAGAATGTGTCATCTACTACAGTTCTAATTTTAAGACTTGCAGCACCCATGCTGCTGGCATTGAGAGTTGTAAATGGATGTACAAATGATGAACTTTAAAGTGTGATGAAATCTCTGCACTGGAAGGAACTTTGGAAGGCAGAACCAGACTCCCTTAAAAAGGCTTCATATCACAGAAGACTTATCTCCTGCTAACAGTTTTTCCTTTTTTTTCTTTGGGGGGTGGGGGTGGGGGTGGAACAGTATGATGCAGAGAAGTGTACTACATAGTGCATTTACAATTCAGAATTTTCTACCCACAGAAAATCTCAGCTCCCCCAAAGAAAATCTCCACAAGTTTTTCCCCAAAGCAGTTCTCTTGCAAGTAACAGAATTCAGACCTACAATTTTAAGCTGATTAAAGACTATTTAACTACTAATATCAAAGAATCCCCAATAATAAGCCTGGCCCTTCAGAACAAAATCTACAATTATATAAGACTGGCCTTAGCACTGAAAAGTATCCATAATCTTTGTTTCTAAGTTTAAATAGAATTATCTTTCTAAACTGCTATATCTTGTCTTCCATTTTACCTTTAAAACAATGCTAATAACACACAGCTGCCAGAGAAGAACAGCTCTTTATTTCTTATATATAACATATTCTTATAACAGCCCCTCCTTCGGAAATTAACTCAAATGAACTTTATTGTCTACGTGACACATAGAGGCCAATTCTGACCATATAGATTCAACGTAAGCTGAAATAGGCCCCAAACTGCTGGTCAAGATAAAACATTTGTTGTCATATGTCAGGGACAGAGATGTACAACAACTAGACTTAACAAATTAAGTTGTGTTTATTTCCTACAACCAAAATATATCCCACACAGAAATTCACAGCTCAACCAAGGTCTGTTTTTAGTTATCTAATATCACAATATAATTGAAGGTAGAGTTTAAAAAATAAGAGTGCTCCCCTTATTCAGATAATGCCAACCCACCTGAAAACCACTTGGGAATCTTTTCCTCATCACTACAGTACATAAGACACCTAAGCCAATAGGTGTCTCACATGCCTAAACTTTTCATACAACGTGTTTCCAGGAATTACTTGCCGTCTGGCTCTAACACAAGGACAGGTGACTAGACATCTGACATTCTTTTAAAATGACAATTCTTAAAAATATAGAAACAAAGGAGCCAACATATCAATATAACCTTATGTTAAGACATTTAGTCATGAAACCCTAAAGCAATTCATTCTATCCATGGAAACCAAGGGTTTCTTTGTACCCTTGGAAAGGTAGGCTCTGCAAGTAGTCAGTGTGCCCTGGGAAGAACACAATGACTGACAGACTGTCCATATTATACCGTGGTTTTAAAGGAAATGAGTACACAATTTCACAAGTATTTGTCAAAACTCAGCAACATTCATCCATCTCTCTTCAAAGAAATGTATAGGAGCCTGAGTAAAATTTGGTGTTTTAAAATTGGCCATTTCTTCTAGTAGTCTTCTGTATGGTTTCTTTCAAAAATTGAGGGTGTATCTATTCTCACACACACGCAAGACACACAAGAGGAAATGGTGGAAGGAAACAATTTTCCTCTTAGTCACATTTCAAGGAGATTTTTCAAAACTTGTGTAATACAAAATTTATTCATGTAAGCATTCAGACATGTTTAGGTGGGAAAGATGATATTCAGATTCTACTACAAGGTTCAACAGAATATAGTAATGAAAGGGATGATACATCTGGTGCAAAACTGGCAGTGGTACAATTTAAAACCAAAGTGAATGAAGATACTTCTTCTGGGGAGAAGGGGAGAACTTAAAATAATTTAAAGCTTTGTGAGGCTAGCCGCGTTCCAATTTAAAACACTGAGAAATAGTACCATCATTAAAAAATGAAAGCAACCTCTGTGTACCAAAAGAGATATGGGGGTTAAAAAAAAAAAAAGAAAAAAGAACATTCTGCATTTATTCAGGTACAAACAGGAGTTGTCCATAAGAGGGCATAATTATTATTCAATGGCAAACCCTGCAGATACCAAATCAAACCCAAATCACTGGTCACATCATTCAAAATGTACATGTAATAAAGGCAAGGCAATATATTCAGTTATGGCCTGTCAAATATTTACTCCACTAATATTATCTACAGAAGCACTTGGCCATTTTGTACACAGTGATTTCTTATGCACGCTGAAAGGGTTTCAGTAAAAATGACACTATATACAAATCTGTACACAGATCCAACAGAGCGATTCTCCATCTCCTGTGGGAGTTATCAACTTAAAGCAGGATACCTGAGGTTTCACAATATCTTTAGTTGCCTTATCACAATCCCAAATATACATTTCAGGGTTGGTTTATTTGTTTTTGTGTTTTTTTTAAAAGATACTTCCCTTGAATATATGCACTGTGGTTAAAATTAAAAACAATAATAACAGTAACAAAATAAAACTAGCTTTAAGAAGCTGACACACCACCCAACTGGGAGACTTCATCTTGCTGTGGGCCACTGAGGAATGTTTGTTCTGTGTGGGCAGCTCTCCCTCCTCCGGCCATGGGAGATGATCCCTGCAGTCAGTCACACACCTCTTCAAGGCAGTCACCACAGGGTCTTGTTGATTTTTTTTTTTAAAATAGAAAAGGAAAGAGAAAGAAGGAAAAACAAAAACCCCAATACTAAAAAGATTTCAGTGGGATGAAGTTCCTCCACCACTCAGTGAATATCTGGGGAAAGAAAGGGAAAATGACATCATTTCCCTGACACAGTTCACTAAGCTAATCAATGACCAAGAACAGATGAATTTTAACAAGGAGAAAACACAATCTCCCCCCAAAAAATTATCCAATTTGTTCCTCCAGCCATATCAAAAGTGAACCTGAGACCCACAAGCCATATTAAGAAAAGGGAGAAGGTGTTGGGAAATGAAGGAGAGAACCCCTCCATCTAAGCTTCCAAGCCAGAGCACTCCTAGTTCTCTTCAAGATATTTCTTTAAAAATCAGTAACTTCATTTTCAAGCTCATAAAGTACCTGGAGCCCCTCAGGAACACCACACCTATTTATCCAGGGTGTCCCTAAAAGTATTGGGCCAATCACTTAGAACTGCACCAATACTTTTGGGACTCCCTGTGTAAAATACATTGTATAAACACCCAGCCCCTGGTTACAATGTCTCAATTTTGAAGACATTGAAAATTTTAGCTGAAGAAGCTATGTTCAGGGCCTAGATTTATAAAAGCACTTGACATCTATCTATCTATCCATCCATCCATCCATCCATCTATCCATCTATCCATCCACACATGACCCAACCCAGAGAAATATTGGCAATATTTAATACTAAGGACAAGTGCCTTTTTTCTCATCTAAAGAGAACAGACTTGCTATCAGAACCATTAATGGGAAAGAAGCAGGGGGGGCAGCTAGGTGGCACAGTGGATAGAGCACCAGCTCTGGAGTCAGGAGGACCTGAGTTTAAATTTGGCCTCAGACACATAACACTTTCTAGTGTGTAACTGTGGGCAAGTCACTTAACCCCAACTGCCTCACTTAAAAAAAAAAAAAGCAGGATAGAAAAAAGAGTGATACATTTGTGACCAGAGATCTGGTTTAAATGTTCACTCTGTTACTATCTCTGTGACCTTCGACAAATCACTTCATCTCTCTGGGCTTCAGTTTCCTCATCTATAAAATGAGAGAACTAGACCAGATGGCCTATGAGGTCTCTCTGAGCTCTACATCTGCTATCTTTGTGAAAGGCTGCTCTACAAGCAAAGGATCTCTGTACTAGAAACAGAGAACAGGGGTGAAGATACCTGAAAGGTAGAAGCCTTGTAAGAACAAGAAAGGGAAACCCTTATTAAAACAAAACATGAATTAATTTAACTATCAACAAAAAAGGGGGGAAAAGTCTCACTTAAGATGGGAAAAGGCCACAGAAAACAATTCTTGAGATAAAGGACAAACAAGACTTAAGGATGCTTAACTTTTGGCAATTGCTTATGACTCGTAAACACATTTCAAAAATTAACTGCGACAACTGAGGACATAGTTGATCCAGTATCTTGCATCAGCAGTGGAGAAAAAGATAAATAAGGGCTTATAAGGCAAGAATAGATCAAATATAAAGAGAGTTATATATGTTAATGAGGGAAAGAAGGACAGAGGAAAAGGAGCAAGGAAGGAAAGGAGGGCGGAGGGGAGAATTTATTAAAAGCCTTGCCAAGCATGATGCTATGTGCTTTACAAATATTATCTTACTTAATCTTCACAACAACCTTAGCAGATAGGTGTAATTATTATCTCCATTTAATAGTTGAGAAAACTGAGGCAAACTGATGTAAAGTAACTTTGCTCTGGGTTACACAGCTAGTAAGTATATGAAGCTAATTTGAACTCAGGTCTTCTGGACTCCAAGCCTCCCCCTCTTCATACTGTGTAACATCTAGCTCCTATAAGCAACAGAACGATTTTTTTTTAAACAGTACTCATCATTTCTTTGGTACAGAGCATTCCCAGCAAGGGAACTCCCTTTAGCAATGCTAATGGGAAGCTGCACAGCAACTTATTGTCTACACAAGCTGCCAGGGACATTGAGGTTCAGAACTATTAATTTCACACAGTTCTGGCCAAATGGGAAGAGAAGAGTGCTGGAAATGCCCCTCCACACAAGGTTAACAAAGTGGTGTTTGGGGATTTCCTCCATGCTAATAATTATCTTCATAGTGAGAAAAAAGGTGGTGCTTAAATGTATTTAACAAGTGCTAACAGCGACCTTTATAGGCCCATAATAATACAAATCAAGGCAGTGTATTATACAAAATTTTATTCCTACACTAAATATGAAATTCAAGACATTTACAGAGTAGTCAGTTTTCAGGAAATGCACTTGCACTGAGGAAGAGCTCAGTCTAGGTCATCTACTCTCATCCCCTCTTGACAGGGAGCTACCTTGCTAGCCATTTCTTTCCATCTCTATTCAAGCAGACACAAAGCAGAAGGCAAGCCTTACTGAAAATTGGCTTACCTGACTCAAAACCTCTTTATGCCACACAATGACAATCCAACAAAAAGCTCTGGAAATTAAGAGTCACAATCAGCTCTCCATAAGCCACATTAAGGAAGGGGAACATTGGTATGGATAATTGAAAAATAAATTTAATTATTCACCTGACTTTGCCAGGAGTTAGAACAGCGAGGTAGAAGCACATTAAACAGAGGAGCCCCAGTGTCAAAGAGAGGATGTAGATAGCAGAAGGGCAGGGATAGCCCATAATGTATAGTAACAGGGAGCAGAATGTGGTAACTCTACTCTTTAAGACAAAAAGGGACCATGGAAACGATCTACGAAGGGTAAGACTTGAATGAAGGACACTGAAGTCTCAGAACTTTTGCCTCATTTTGCCTAAAATGACACCATGAACGTCTGCTCACAGGATCATGAAAGGAAGGGACCTCAGAGGTCACTAAGTCTAAATCCCCTCATTTTACAGATGAGGAAACTGAGGCACAGATGTTAAGCAACTTGACCAGCCTTATTCAGTCAGTAAATGTCTGAGCCGGGATCGCAACCAGGGTCTGACTTCAATTACAACACAATCAATCAAAAAATCTCTTACTATGTGCTAGGCACTGTGTTATCTGCCATAATGCCACAATGTGATGAACATGGAGCTCTGACAAGAGCCCTGGATTTCATAGCTATCACAGAATCAAGAGCTATCAGAGCTGGAAGGGACCTTCTAAACACCACCTCTGTCTGTCATTCCCAATGACTCCTACAAGTACTAATGAGAGACAAATACTTGGGAAGCCGAGCGGCAGCCAGGAGACCCCCGTTCAAATCCTTCCTCTGCTCCCTTAGTGCTCATGTGACTTCAGGCAGCTCACTCAAACTCTTCAGTTTGATTTCCTCCCTTTTAAGATGAGCTATGTGAACTAGAGGACTTCAAAGTGTCCATTTTAGCTCCAAATTCACAATCCTTCTCCAGAATACTATGCCAACACTCTAGGCCAAATCTGCTCATGATCCTCCTGCAAAAGGAATACCCCTGTGTTAGGGCTTAATGAACTTTATCAGGCCAAAAGCTTTGTCATAAGAGGTACTTTAAACCAGGAAATCAATTCTGGAGCGACAGATATGGACTGGCATGTGGCCAAGGGACTGTTCCAATTTCAGCTAGTCATGGCTGCAAGCTCCCAAAGCATCTTAAAGATCTTTTTAAAAAAGATCTTCATATGTGTTGGGGGGGGGGGAGCAGGAAGAGGAGACGAGGGGAGGGAGAAGGGAAAAGAAGATAAGAATTCCATAAGCACAGAATGCAGTGACAGTCTCAGAAGGACTCAAGGTTCTCTCCCATCTGCTGGGCTTGGTTACTCTTCTCTAGAGACTAAAGCTCTTGACTACCTTCTCTTTGCTTTAACACTGAGATCTTATAGGAAATAAGGTCTGTTCCTTTTCGAAGCCTCTTCATGCCCAGAATTAAAAAAAATAAATACACATACTACCACCGCTTCCCAACACATGCTCAGGATCATCTCCAGGGGCAGCAATTTCCCCCAGAAGCTGAGGAGTTAGTTACCTCTGAAGCCTCTGTACAAGCTGAGACACCATGGTATCCGAGATCCCGGGACAGGCTTCTTCTGCCAAATAAATTGCACCTCTCAGTTCTTCAATGGATCCCATGTTGCCTCCACTTGCCTGGCTTTTCTCTTTCAACTTAAAAACCAATAAAAAAAAATATATATATATATTAGCAAGGGAATTACTTGTAAAAAGTAATATGAACATATGGGCACAGTACTGAGTTCAATTTGTCTATCTCTTGGGTTGTATTTCCTGCTTTACTCCTGAGGATCTAAGTGGTCCTGGAACCCATCTGGTTCCTCCTAAACAAGGACAGGTAGGGGAATACTTTCTCCCAGGTGTCTAGAGAATATGCTGGAAGCAATACTTAAATAGTAGTACTTATATATTACTTATGTATCTTATATGTGGAAAGATATATACTACTCAAGTTGATGGTATACTTTTCTTTTTCTCATTATTGTAATCTTTTTTTTTTTAACACAGCCTTTATTTTCAAATCTATCCCTTTCACTCAACACACACACACACACAAATTCAGCAAAACCACCTCTCATGATCTGATAGCCATCTCTCAGAGCCCTGTGTAAGGAATATTCCTTGCCATCCTCCCCCATACTTCTCTGGGGCCTGGTCCTTCTAATGACAGTGTTCACTTTCTAGTCACTGTTTATTTTGCTTTTCTGATTCTGCTGACTGTGCCCTCCATGAATTCACCTCAGTAGCCACCCCCTCCCCACCCCACCTCTTTTCTCTGAACTCTTCACAGTCGTTTCTTTTGAGGCTGTACTATGCACTCCCATTCATGTACTACCACATGTTTAGCTATTTTCCAACTGATGGGCATTACTTTGTTTCCAGTTCTTTGCTCCCACATAAAGAGCTATCACCATGAATATATTTAGAGTTTATAGAAGTTTAAGCCCATCTTTGACTTCCTTGGGTTATATGCCTGGCAGTGGAAATTCTCAGTTCAAAAGATATAATTGGACAACTTCTCAAAGGAATTTTACTACACTGCAGTCATCTTTAAAAAAAAGTTGTTATTTAGAACTATGCCAAAAGTCCCTAAACTGTGCATACTCTTTGACCCAGCAAAGGTCTACACTCCAAAGAGACCAAAGAAAGAGGAAAATAACATCCATGTACAAAATATGTCAGTTCTTTTTTGTGATGGTGGTGGTGGTGTTTGCCCTTCTCTCTCGAAGAGGACCGTGACGTCAAGGGGGTGATGCCATAACATGCAAATGAATTGGATTTAACTGAGGGAAGGCTGTGCAAAGTCACCAGCCTCACTTTCTCCTCTGGAGCCATGTGGGTCCAGTGGCCAGAAGTAGATCAGGACAACTGGAGATGGCCCAACATGCAGTAGAAGACTCTGGTTTTCTTACTCTAAGGTCGTCAACAGGTCTCAGTTTGACTGAGGCAAAGCCCATTCAATGATTAAGGCTATTAATCTTTGTGGTAGCAAAAAACTAGAGATAAAGGAGAGCCTGTCTACTGGGGAATAGCTGAACAAATTTTGGTACCTGAATGAAATGGGATTCTATTGTGATGTGAAAAATAATGGAATAACTGTTTCAGAGGAACTTGGGAAGATGTGCATGAACGATACTGAGGTAAATGAGAAGAACCAGAACAATTTATACAAGTACATCATAAAGACAAACAACTTTGAAAGACTCGGGAACTCTGATTAATACCATGACCAAGCAGATTTCAACAATGCATGCATCCCAACTCAAACAGAACTGATGATCTCAGAGGGGTCCAACAGACCTATTTTTGAGACATGGCCTATGCAGAAACATGTTTTGCTTGACTATGCTTACTTGTTACAAATGCTTTGTTTTTCTTGTGTCTGTCCCCTTCTCCTCCTTCCCCCTTCTGCGACCCCACCCCCCAGGGCAATAGGGATCAAGGAGGTGGGAAGGAAAAGATTTTTGTTCATTGAAAAAGCAAAGAAAACAGCTGCTTCACTACAGGCACTATACAAACTATTTCTTAGCTTGAACCCTGCTCAGGTCATCAACGAAATGTTTTCTTCAATCCTCCCAGGATTCTGGATTTCATTAATGTCAATGTTCCCAGAGAGACTACTAAGCTTTAAACAATGTATGGACTTTAGAACAAGTATATGGTCTCGAGCTGCTGCAGCTAACTTCCTGGAACTAACAGAGCTTCTCTCTATATAGTAAGCGATATGATTTTATATACATACATATACACATACACACACACACACACATATATATATAATGACATACATAAAGTGCACCATTGATCCCATAACTCAAAAACTTATCCAGCTTTAACAGGTTCTAGCCAAGGTTTGCAATAATCAAGAATGTAAGCCATGATAAAGCGTCAGAATAGGACTTTAGTGGAGAAACTCATCAAAAAGCAATCCCAAATCCCATAATATCCCACACCAAGAGTTCAGTTTTGATTTTTAGAGTTCTATTTACTAACAAGCCTTTTGAATACCACGTATCTGAATTACCTTCTAAATATTAAAGGGACTAGTCTAAAGATGCAGCAATCAGTCTTCTGTCTTGGGCCAAATGGTTCAATCTGGCAGTCCAGGAATACCTAGAAATTCACCATGCTGACCTAACCTGATAATTATTTGTACCTTTGCCGCAACAATAATTTAGGTCAATTTCCCTAGGAACTTCACTAATTTTAAAGTAACTGGTCCACTATAGGTAAAACCCACATGTGCAAACAACACTGCCTGGAACAAAAGGAACTCAAGATTGGGCTCAGCCATGAAATGACATGGATGACAAATATGAACTCCTACTTACACCCCTCCCAAATTCCTGTCAACCAAAGATCATTTTGTAAGTGCCTACTATGTGTCAGGCAATGTGCTGAGCACATTTTGCTTAAAAGTACCAGAGACGATAAACTAATATCAAAATTTTTACAGCAAGTTTTTCTGATAAAGGCTTCATTTTAAAAATATATACTGAGTACAGAATTGAGTCAAATTTTATAAAAATATGAGCCCTTCCCCAATTGATAAATGGTCAAAGAACATAAACAGGCCGTTTTCAGTAAAAGAAATCAAAACTGTCTATACTCATACAAAAAATGCTCTGAATGGAGAAAGGCAAATTAAAACAATTCTGAGGTACCACCTCACATCTATCAGAAACGACAAATGCTTGAGGGAATGAGGGGAAAATAGGTATATTAATGAACTGTTGGTGGAACAGTGAACTAGTCCAACCACTCTGAACAACAATTTGGAATGAGGCCCAAAGGGCTTTAAAAGTATGCAAACCCTCTGACCCAGCAATACCCTTACTAGGTCTGTACCCCAAAGAGATCAAAGAAAAAGGAAAAGAACTCATATGTACAAAAATATTTATAGCAGCTCTTTTTGTGGTGGCAAAGAACTGGAAATCAAGGGGATGCACATCAATTGGGGAACAGCTGAACAAGTTGTGGCATTCGTGGCATATAATTGTAATGTGCTGTGCTGCACCATTGTGCTGTGGAAAATGACAAGAGGAGTGGTTTTAGAAAAAAAACAAAACATGGTAAGACCTATATGAACTAATGCAAAGTGAAAGGAAAAGAACTGAGAGATCACTATGCACAGTAACAGCAATATCCTAATGATGATCAACTGTGAAAAGCATAGCTACTCTGACCAAGACAATAATCCAAGATAATTCCAAAGGACTCATTATGAAAAAAGTGCTATCCACCTCCCGAGAGAGAACTGATGAACTCTCAGTACAAACTGAAGTCTAATTTTCTCACTTTAATAGTTTTTCTTGCTTTTTTTGTGTGTGCAATATGGCTAATACAGAAATGTTTTGCAGGATTTCACATATCCAACTGATATCATATAGCTTACCTTCTCAGTGGTTGGGTAAGGGGAGAGAATTTCGAATTCAAAATGTAAAAAGAAAAGAATGTTAAAAATACATTTAAAAATTTTTTGAAAAAATAAACAAACATGACATTATCAAGGAAAATAAAAAATTAGGGATACCCTGCAAAACTCCTCATGTTGGTCTATTTATGGTGTAAATCAGAGGTATCAAATACACAACCAGCTGGCCATATGCTGCCCACAACACTCCTAAGAGCCACCAGTAACTATAACCAATAAATATTTAACAAAAACTAAATAAAAAATACAGTAAAACATAGATAACATATTTAAAAAAAAAAAAGAAATTAATAAGCTGAGGAACTCAGAGGTTAGGGCATTAAGAATATGTTAAAGACAATGATCAACCATAATTCCAGAGAACTTGTGATGTAACATGTTACCTATCTCCAATCACAGATGTGATAAAACTCTTATACAAATTGAGACACTCAAAAAAAAATGGGGGGGGGGAGTGTTGGGTGGTCTCCTAGTATGATGATGAATTGAGGAAAGATTGTGAGCCAGACACTGAACTCACTGAGAAAGAAAGGTGAGTATCTTGGAGATGAGTAGGCCAGAATGTTAATTGGGTGACAGACACAGATTGAATGAACATGAAAGGAAAAGAGGATATGGAGTGATAGACAGTGCTGGAGGGAGACAGCAGAAGTGGCAATGGGAGGCAGGAAGTATCACAACAACCAATGAGCTTGGGTATGTGTGAAAGTATAACTAATGGGAAAAGAGTGGCAAGGGAAGCTGTGTCATCATGGTAGAGCCAGATCTCGAGTACAAGAAAACTGAGGGGATGAAAAAGGAAAAGATGAAGGCTAGTTTAAGATGAAAGCCAGTTTGCTACCTATGCAATAAACATTCCAGAAAGCACAGTGGAAAGGGTAGGTAGCATGAAAGTGGGATATTGGTGGAGTTGGGGGTGGGGTGGGGTGAGAAGGAATAAGGGAATAGTTACTTGTAAACAGAGAACAGGGTTTGAACAATGACAGTTGAGGGTTCAGAATCACTGGGATAAGAAGGAAATGGAAGAGCAGGAGTTAGTTTAGATAGGTTATCATCATCCATAGAGGTTCAGCCTAGGGTGGAGTTGTTCCAAGGTATCAGGCAGCACAGTGTAGCGTAAAGGAATTTCCCAGGGGAGGGCAAGGCAACTGCTGGGGAGCTGAGGCGTCCAGAGACACGCTGGGGTGGATCAAATGGCTGCTCTGGGAGGCCCTCATGGAAGCCTTCCTGGGCAGGCATAGGCTGGGGACTGCAGTTATGTCAGTGGACAGATAGAGTGCCTGGAACCAGTTCTATTATTACATATAGTGAGAAATGTTTTGCAACATGTCCAGCTCTGGCATTTCAAGATGATCTGGAAAATTTCAGTGTCCTATTCCTAGAAAGTTTTTCCTCTTTAGCTCTTATCATTCCGGAATCAATTATTTGCAATGGAACTGGAAAGACAAGATGTCATATAAGACTTAACATGAGGGAAAACTGAGCAACTCAACTTTTAACACAGATCTCTTCCCCTTCTATCTGGATTGCAACATATTTGACCTCAAGACTTCCACCAAGAGGAGCCTGAATTTCTCAGAGAGCTAAATATACAATAGCAAGTAAGATTCTTTAAATAAGTAATTTGCAATGGCCCACTGTTTCCTTTTTTCCATGACTCTAACCCTGGCCATTAGCATTTTAAGTGATAGCTTTGAAATCTGGTGGAAATGTAAGAAGTAGGGCAAGTGAGAACCCTGCAAAGTGACTAAGTAAATCAAAGACCTTATAAAATCATTGGACCAGAGATCTAAGTCTGTCAGGGAACTCAACCTAATCCAAACCCCTTATTATCTATAGCTGAGATGTCACTAGTTAATTTGGAACACTGGAATTTTGTTTTTTCCTGTCTTGTTCCCCCCTACCCCACTGCCCATTTGCTTGTAAGGACAGTTATGCCCCAGAAAGGTTCTGCTTGTGAAATGACATCATTGTTCCATTCATAATTCTTGTCTTGTTAGGGTTCTTCTAGTTGGTAGACTGAACTCTCAGAGCTCTTGCTTTTGAAAAGTAGAAGGGTCTCAATGTTGGATATTGTCATGTTTTCACCATTTTCTTTTATTTTGTTTTTTGTTAGGTCATTTTTTTTTTAATATAAAGTAAGGGGCAGCCAGGTGGCTCAATGGATAGAGCACGGCCCTGGAGTCAAGAGGACCTGAGTTCAAATTTGACCCCAGACACTTGACACTTACTAACTGTGTGACCCTGGGCAAGTCACTTAACCCCACTGCCTAGCCGAGGGGGAAAAAATGATAAAGTTATATAAAGCTTGTGGATTAAATACAATACTTGTGTATTTAAAAACAAAAAACACAGACACAAAAATAAATAAATGGCATGCCCAACCAAAGTCAAACAGGCAGGAGGCATCAGAGTCTGAATCTGAACCCAGATTGCCAAACAAGATCTCTTTGTATGACTTCTCCAAAATTTAATGACAATCTGAGCCAATGAAGTATTTTACAGTATGAGTAAGATTAAAACACACATCACTTTAAAGAAGTGCTTTCCAAAAACCAAGGTATGATTTATTTTTGGGGAGGCAAACTTGGGGATTTTCCTTTTTTAAAAAAAAACTGTAGCTTTTTTGTCAGTTCATGAAAAAATAATAAATTTAGTTGAAAGATGGGACACAAAAGAATGCTATGAAATTAGAGGACAAACTGATAATTACTCAAGTTTTACTAGTCAGAATTAGGTTGTTGGCTCATGGGCAAGGACTACCTTTCTGTGCAACCCCAGCTCTTAGCATGGGGCTTGGCAATTAATAAATGCTGAGTGCCTGACAGAAAAGGAAAGAGAATAAACTAGCTTTCTCTTGGTGAGTATTAGCTAAGGAAATATTCCTGAATATTTTTTCCATGCACCCACCAAAAAACCCTCCAACTACAACTCAGCAAATCCTATGACATTCTGTCTAGTGTGGATCTTGAGCCTATCAAAGTGACACAGGTAAGATTCTGGACAACTGAATGAACATCCAGGAAATCACAAACCCTGCTCTTATCAGACAAAAGAATCAAAAAGGTGTCATATAAATACACAGGAATAGTAATGAGACAAAGAATAAAGGTCCTGTCTAGGAAAGCACAAAGCCTTTAAATTTAAGTACGAAAGCAGCCCATTGGGAGAGTCTGTTTTAATATCAACAAACCTTGGTGTGTGGTATCACTAAATTACCAGCCAATACTGCCATCTGTACAATGGAGTGCCAATCCATGGACTAAATCAGATCTGCTAAACATTTTCAGAAGGGACACTCTAAACCACGTAGAGAGAAGCAGACAGAACCTATTCATGGTATAGTGGACAGGTCACTGGACTTGGAGTCAGCAAGAGACATGTTTGATTCAGCCTAGACACTTACGAATTATGTGATCCCAGGCAAGTTAAGTCCTATGCCTCGGTCTCCTCATCTATAAAAGGAAGGGAACTGGACTAAATGGCATCTAAGATCCTTTTTAGTTCTAAATCCTATGATCGTTCCCATTTCCGTTACAAGACTTATAACCCAGCCTAACCACAGTCTGTACCCTATTACATATGCTCTAGTTTTGTTATCGGCAGGAAGCCAGGGTTTTACTAAATGAGACTATGATGAGACACACTGAGTTGGAATTCCAATGAAAGAGTATAGACTGTATCCTACGGCTCCTCAAAGGCCTAGAGGAAGAGAATGGGCAGGACCAAAAATTCCCTTTGAAGAAAGCAGATCTTAAAAGGAGTCTTAAATGATGTCTCCTACTTGCCCCTTTTACCTCAAAAGAATTGTGGAAATTACATAAGATAATATATCTGAAAAGGCTTTGAAAACAAAAACTAATTAGTGAAAACACTAACAACATGCAGGACTTGGTCCAGGCCAGGAATATTTTTGCTTTCTAAGTAATGGGTAAGGAGCTATAGCATTCTCTTTGTACTTATGGGGTCCTTTCCTGGGAAGACCACCACCTGTACTGATATCAACATCACCCTGAGGCAGGTGAGGGTCGCAATGAGAAGGAACAGGAAAATGCCCATCAGAGAGAGAACCAGGGCAGAAAGGAGAGCAAAGAGTAGGCCATTGGACTCCTAATACACTGCTCTCACTTCTAAAACATGTGCTCTCACTCTTTTAATGAAAATGCTATAACTGGCTAGGGAAAAAAAATGAAACTGGACAACAGCTGTCAGATAAATGAAAGAAATCAAAGGTGCTAAAAAAGTATTTACCAGGTCTGCTGCTCTTCTTATGATGGAATCCACTTTTGGCAAAGCCATGTAAATAAGATGCCCAAAGTCAAAAGCAAAATGGATTGAACTAAAATTATACTTTAGGGGGTAAAAGAGTTACAACTACAATTGAAATTAAGACCCATGCTGCACAGATCCATGTACTTTTAGTAATTAGTGTTCACTGCTGGTCCCTACCCAGAAATAAAAATACAGGATACCACTGTGACTGACTCTTAGCCTGCAACGGGGTGTGAAAAAGTGGCCACAGCCCAGATGACTGGGACTGGGGGGCGGGGGGGGCTGGGCCCCCACAGGCGCGCACTCCCCCACAGAAGAGGCATGTGAAGACAGGTGCGGCGATGGGAAATTTTCTTAGAATAGTGACACTAAGCATTCTTAGTACCTAAGGGTAGCTTACCGCAAGATGCACCCTGAGTTTCTGAAACTATTTTGAAAGCATACATGTCTCTCATTTACCATTCTCCTGACATCACCACCACCACAGGAAGACTAATACCTAAAATAAAATGCTGACAATGTTGGCAATCTTACCTCTGCAAATAGAGGAGAAATAACTGTAGATAAGCACTGAGACAAAGGCCTCTTTGGGATATCTTTCACCTTAAAAAAAAACACCACATTAATATAATTTGATAATTTGTTCTGCATTTAACAAAATTTATTACTTTCAAATCTCACACTCAAAGCATAACTCTACTTCTGCTTATACTGAACTTATACAGCTTACACCTTGGCATCTGAATTCAAATGCAGAGGGGGAAAAAACATTCTTTCATGTTCATTATCAATGGATTTAATCAAAGGTTGATTGTCTCTCATTAGACCAAAAGTTTTATATATAAAACAAATCAAATATACAAGGGTAGGCAAACAGATTATATATAACAGAAAATTATCACTAGGTGAAAAAAGAAGTAATATTTGTTTAAAACAAAGCAAAACACACAACTGTACCATTATGCTACCGGGGGGGGGGAAGAAAAGAGGAATTTTTACTCTAAAGGATAAAGACCAATAGGGAAAAGATAATTTAAAGAGAAGAATAATAAACTATTAGAAATGTATGACAACTTACAATGTACAACAAAATCTTATTAATTTGATTCATAAATAATTCCTGGTTCACATCCATTTCATAAAGAAACTAGAATGAATTTTATCTTTAAATTACTTATGGAGAAAGATCTTTCAAGATAAAGTAAATTAACACTGTAATCAAGATAGGGAGATTGGGGAGTGGGCTTAAGGCTTTTTTAGAGAAACTATCTTAACACTACAGCATTACCTACTTATACACATAAATAACTACTGAACTAATTATAAATGATTCAGGTCTATATTAAAGCAGAATTTGCAAGACCATTACTAGGTAACCATTAGTTTGGATATGTACTCAAAGCTACAGCTAATGTAGTAGCAATAAAAAGTGGGAAGAGATGTGTTAAACAAGGATCAATGGAAGGAATCAGATATAAGGCTTACGGGCATAAGATAGTTGTTTTCAAGTATCAAATGGTCTCTCATGAGGAAGAGTAGTAAGACTTATTCTGTTTGGCTCTGTAAGGCATAAATAATACTGGTACTTGGAAATTACAGATGAATAGATTTTGTTTTTCCACATAAGGAAGAACTTGCTAATCATCAGTTTCCAAAAAGTGGAATACACACCAGGGGAGAGTGAGCTCCCACTAACTAGACATATTTATGAATGAACAGCTGTGTGGATGCTGAAGAACTAATTCATGGATTAATGGAGAAGAGTTGAAATAGATGACCTCTAAGGTTCCTTCCTAACTCTAGGAGTCTATGAACTCAGGGGTGAAGTAAATTCTGTGCACACAACCTTGGTGGTAATGTAGAAAACAGTGCTAGACCTGAAAACAGAGGCTTTGGTTTGAATCTACCTCTACTAACAAGGCAATCAGGGCAGCTAGGTGGCACACAGTGGATAGAGCACCGGCCCTGGATTCAGGAGGACCTGAGTTCAAATCTGGCCTCAGACACATAACACTAGCTGTGTGACCCTGGGCAAGTCACTTAACCCCACTGCATAGCCCGCCCACCCCCCCCAAAAAAAACAAACAAAAAAAACCAAGACAATCAAGCTATGTCTTCTGGGCTCTTGCTAGCTTAAATGAACCTATTCGGTCCTTGTCAGTTCTAAGCTTAAGTATGAATTGTTAGGATCCAATCAACATTAAGTCATTACTGGCTTAACAAATTTCCTCAAGTCAATCTTTTAAGTTCCCACAGTCTGTCCCCAAATTTTTAAATTAAACAGCAAATTCCTTAAATTGGATGAAATAAGAGGTATAACTGTACAGTGTTCAGAACTGAAAAGGTACTTAGCAAATGATCATTAACAATGATATTTAAATAATCTGGTTCTATTGATATCTTTGTATTTAATTTATATTTAAACATTTGTGCTTAAATAATTTTAATCAGATTCTACCTTATTTCTTTCCAGTTCCTGTGGCTGAACTGCTCCATTCTCCAGGTTCTTAGGATCTTTTTCTCTGATTGTGAAGATCCAGTCTCCTGAGTCACTGCCGCCTGATGCCTGACCATCTGTTTCTCTTAAAACAAAAATTCAGAAGTCTCCATCACTAAGTATTAACACTGAAAGGACTCAATTCAATAAAATGGGAAAGAAGAAAAAAGGCTAGAGACACCAATCAAGGACAGGACAGGCATTTAAGACATAAAGGGCAGCTCTATATCCTGGGTGGCCTACTGAAGTCAGGCTCAACAAAACTTCCAGTGCGTCTGTTTGAATTGGGCAACTGGCAATAACTTGCTAAGTTGTGCCATACTGAGTCCTGAAGGGAGATTTGGACAACCTGCATGGCAACTCCCTCCATGTGATTGGATTTTCCAAGCCAAACTGAAAACACTGCACTCTCATTTCCACAGAAAAAGAAGCCACTGCTTAGAAAATGAGGCAGCCACGACTTTGCTAGACAGGAATGAAGGCTAGCTGCCATAATCTTCTATCTTTAGGTTCCCACAGTTCACAAATCAACCTGAAATCCAGAAAGGAACACAAATTTTCTACTCAATTGTGTTTTGTTGTTGTTGTTTAAATAAAAAAATAGCATCTCAAAAGTAAGATTTTGATATCTAAACAATATAAGGAATACTTTGATACTTTTTTCATAAATCTTAATCATTTTCAGTTCTAGGCTAATCTAAATCCATGGTCTTAATCTTACACATTTATAGGATGTTCCTGTCTCACTAACTCTCAGTTTTTGAGTCTGAATTCTCCCAGGACTCTAGGATTTTAGAACTAAAAGTTCTTTCCAGTTATCAGTCCTTAAATGGCTATTGTTATTCTCTGCCTTAATCACAGAAAGTCTATTTATCTGGCTAAGGGTGTGGGAGCCTAAAGAGGTTACTTCAGGTTTTCTTTCTAACCTCATTAGCTAAGAAGGAATAGAAATTTAAAGGGTCAGTTATGAATAAAAAATTAACAGCATTTTGAAGTAGATTCGTCATACAAGTATTTTCAGGAAAAGAAAACCAGTTAAGGATTAGCAATTTTTATTCTTGGGAAGTTCCACTCATGGCATCAAGGGGTTAAGAGAACATTAATATGTTCTAAAAAAGGAATCTTAACAAAGGCATCATTTCAATCTGGTACATTTACTGCCAAAAATTCATAAAGTAACTAGAAGTGACATTTTTCTGCTCTGTGATTCTCTGATTATAAGAGCTGTAGAAGGCTGATCAGCATTGTGGTCAACTCAAGCAAGGAAATTCTTCTGATTCTGATCACTTGACACATTTCTTACAATAAGCTAAAGGCACCTAAAAGGTATATAAAGCCAAGTAAACCTGTTCACTGAGTTATATTTGCTTGTATAATCTGCCAAATGAATTTACTGTGAAAAAAAGAACCCAAACCATTCTAGCAAACCACTCACCACAACTGAGCATTTCCATTATTTAATGCCCATAGGAAAAGAGACTTATTTGGGAGTAGCTACATATGAACTTTACTCATAGACGTCAGATCTTAGTGAACATGTAATAAGAAAAAGATGCAGCCATTTACTAAAATTCACAGGGATTTGGGAGTCAGGTAATCACAATGGCTATTCTATCTGGATAATGTCACACATAACATAAACCTCAGATAGGAGTTTCACTTCTTAGTTTTTAAGGATATAAATCAGCCCTCTTGATATAATACATGTCTATACACTCTTTAAAGTTCTGGTACTTATCACCAAGTAACTTTACATATATGGCTTTATCAGTTTTTATTACTGCCTAATGCCTTCTCTTCTAGAAAGAGATATATATTCTGATGTTATCACACACATCAATTTCCTTCCCCATCCCCAACCCACATTCAGTTCATACATTATATTTTGGAACATCCCTGGTTTTACATCCAAATGATGTATCAGATTCATTCTTTTTTTTTTTTCCATTTTCATTTTGTCTGAAACGTCAAAACATTTCTTTTGGAGAAACCATGGGAAACAAATGTGCTTCATGGTTATACTTCTTTCCCTTCCTTAAGCTTCTTACTCATCCCTGAAGCACTAAAATAAAGGCTTGCAAGACCAACCATTTGGTATATGAAGCCCATTAGAAACAGTGGATATCAGAGGGAAAATGACAGCTGGAAGAGAGGAGGAAAAAAGACCAAGAATATTCTATATTGTTTGATGAAATAGTTGACAGATTGAAGATACTCACGTGTCTGAATCTTCTGAACTCGAGTCATCTTGGCTCTGTTCAGCCTTCCATCTCTTGTACCTATCAATGAGCTCTGTCAAGTAAGAGGTTTTCTTTGCATTCCTTATTATAAATTTGTGTTTCAACAACTCCTTTGCTGTAGGTCTCTTGAAAAAACAAAAGTCAATAAGATGATGTTCACTACCTTCTACTTGAAAGTACCTCCAAATAGCAACCTGTGAGAATATCACTGTCTTTGAAATATTCATTCTTGTGCCAGTGGCTTTTTTTCTTAAGAAATTTAGTAATTTGTTGTGTTTTGAATCTTCATAATTTTAAGACCATTTAACTAAGTAACTTCCCAAATGCCACTCACGTTCTGGGTGTGCACTTTCTCTCCTGACTACTTAAGTCAAGAATTGTTTTATGCTTCATAGCCATGACCCAGAGGTGCTACAGGCCAAGGCCTGCCAACTGCTTTTGCTATTTAAGAGAGGACTATGGGTACCAGTTACAGGGAGGGATAAAATGAAAACCCAAATCACCAGTTGGTAGAAATACAGAAACTACAATTAGGGTTAGATCAAACCTCTTCTCTTAGAACAAATGATGTACTTAATGACAGCGTCATATTACTCAAGTCTTATGAAAAAGAAAGTATCTGTAGATACACTTGGCAATATCAGATGTCATTCCCAATGCCCTCACATCATGTTTCTAGTTACCTTCCTTCCATCTTGATTCCTTTTACGACTGTGGAACTGGGTAGGTGAACGGCTATATTAACAGTTATCTACATCTAAGGTGTGTGCATTTTAATTTATAGGAGGGTCAAACAAATGTCAGATCAATTATTATCTACAACTGCTGATTTCCTGCAACTCAAAAAAGAGAATGTCAATCTTACAAGGTTGATAAGGTCCGGAACTAAACAATTTAGTGTACATTACCTGAAGAAGAGCAGATAGAGACATTTTAGTTTCTGGCCTTATCAATTCTGTTAGCTCACTATTCCCTCAGTCTCTGACAAGGTGTCAGCACACCCTAATACAGTGATATAATCCATGCTTAAGACAGAAGTCAATGAGAAAATGAACATCAGCTCTCTTTTACAATAGCTAAAAAACTCAAATAATTTAAAGATAAAATTCATTCCAGTTTCTTAATGAAATAGATGTGAACCAGGAATTATTATGCTCTTGATAAAACTCTAATATTCTTTGTAGGATTTTCTATGTTTAAAGGATATTTCAATGTGCTTGCTCAAGACTAAGCAGTAGAAATTCACCTCCAAGTGATTTTTTTCTGATTTCAACTTAGAAGCCTTTGAGGCAAAATTCCAAGAAAAAGTTTATGTAGCTTTTTTAATATGCTATTCAAGATACTCTTGTGGTTAGCATGCCAATACCTGTGCACCCCCTGCTAGGACCATACCTAATTTAGATGAAACTACTTTCACGGTTGGCTGTGATTTCTTCCTGATTCCATATTGTCATTTAAAACCTTTGGATCCCAACGAATAATGTTTGTCTAATGAAAATATTTCCATACCAAAGTTTCTCTGTGATTTAAAAATAAAACAAATTCTAGCACCATGAATCTATTCTCTACACCCAAGAGTGATCCACTGATAAAACTTACAAAGCTGGGTTCCTTGTTTAGACAGGCCTCCACAAACTCTTTGAGGGGTTTGCTGTAGTTCCCTTCCAGTGTTGGTGGATTGTTCTTTGGAATAAGGAATAACACCTTCATTGGGTGTAGCTCCGAATGCGGAGGTTCTCCTTTAGCCAACTCTATTGCTGTTATGCCCAAAGACCAGATATCTGCCTGCAACACAAAACAATCTTGAGGGACCAAGAGTAAGATTATACAGATGGCATTTTCATTCTAGGTAGAAGTACCTTGAGAAGACATACCAGCAGCACTCTACCCTTTGAAAAGTATGAACGACTGCTACTGGGCCAGCTCAACAAAGACAGTTCAGTTAAGTGAACACTTCTATCTCATTTGGAACACTGGCCCTTAGTCCTGGGCCACATTCAGGAAAGACAACGACGAGCTGAATCAAGTTCCAAGGAAGGCTGCAAAACGAAGCTCAGAGGACTGGCTGCAGATGGTATAGTTGTCTTGTTGTATGTGTGAGAAATTAATTGTCTGTGTCAGGGAAAATTCAGAATAGACAGAAGCTACAGAGGAGCACACTGAATTCAACTTAGTGAATCCAATTCACTAAGTGAAAATTTTACTGTTAAAGCTATCCAAAAGCAGAGACTGGGGAATGTCAGGAATAAGAGATCAGAATAGGGCAGTTATGTGATCCTGGGCATAGAGTAAGGGCCTTGAGTGAACAAGACCTGAGTTCAAATCTGGATTCAGGCACTTAACGAGATGTAAGTCATTTCACTTCTGCCTGCCTCAGTTTCCTCAAGTGTGAAATGGGGATAGTAATAGTCCTTAATGGTCAGAGTTGTTATGAGAATCAGATGAGATAATATTTGCAAAGCTCTTAACACAGTGCTCGGCACAAAGCAGGTATTTAATAGACCCTTAGCAGAAATGTTTGCGGGTCACCCCCTTAAATGGAGTAATCAGACGATCTGTAATCTATTATTAGCTATCGAAAAAGAAGGTAGTTAATACTGAGGGAGAGGAGGGAAGGGACCACTGCTCTTGAGGAACTTCCCATGTAAAGAGAATGAGAAGGCTCAAAATTGAGCAGGAAGGTAAATGTTATAGAAAACTCTCATGGGGAAAAAAGAAGGCAGTTATAAAATGATAAGATTTCACTGGTATGGGGCACTCCCCGGTCAGAAAATTCCCTTGACTAAAGCAGGTTGGCACCTTCCCTGCAACGCACTGAGAGCTTGTGTATGACCACTAAGCACTGACTGACGAATATATGTTAGAGGCAGAATTTGAAGCTAAGGATCGCTGGCTTCCAGGCTCCTGATCCCCCACATCATGCAATCTGAAAAAAAGGAATTAAGTTGAATGTGATCCACATCAGACTGGTATCACCTACTTCTGGCCAACTTCAGAATCCCCATTCCCATTCAACAGCTAAAGAGAAAGCACAGAATTTCTTCCTGTCATGACTCAAACCTCATCCTAAAAGGATAGGCTTTGGGCTTAGGCTCCAGAACTGGAATGATCTTGAGAGATTACCCCAAACTGTTAGTCCCCCTCCTCATTTTGAACAAGAGAAAACCAAAACACCAAAAGGAGAAGTGACTTACAACCTATTCTGAGCCCGAGTAGGGAGCAGAGATAAGAGTGAATCCAGATCTTCTGACTCCAAATCCAGTGTGTTGCCATATTATTCTGATGTTATTAAATAAGAAGAATTAGCTTTTCTCTGCCTCTCAGTAACAGCAGCCAGCAGAGGTCAATAAAGTGCTGGCTGGGCAGATCTACAATATGATCTCACTTCAGTCCTTAAGTTCCCCTCTACAGATACAACTCTCCTATTTGCCAGAAGTTAACTGAATTTATATATTTACACTTACACACACACACACATACACACACACACACACACAGAGCATGAAATGTATACTACAGATGGATACTCTTCTTTTTTGTACCTAAGGGCAACAATAGCACTGCCAAGCGTATCACTGGGGTCAACTTTAGAAATACAGATTCAAATAGTAAGCGGCCAAAAAAAAAAAATTCAGCTGTCTCCTACCTAAGATAGAGAATCAACATTAAAAAAAGCCTTTTAATCTCGTCAAACAGAGAAGTCTACTCCTTCAGGAGGGACATTTAAACCAGCCCAGCAGTTAACTATGTATCATCTCCTATTTTATTCAAGAGACAAAAGTCAGAAAGCTCTAAAAACACTCAAGGACAGGTGCCAAGTCCTCATTCTGACTCAGTGACCTATTTTCTCGATAATGAAATCATTTTTATGCCCAACTTTCTGGGTTCTCTAACTTCCTTTCCATAAAATAGAGACAAGTGGAGAGTTATCGGTGAAGCCAAAGGCAGCAAAGGAAGAAGGAAAGCACAGAATGTGGAAGTTAGTCCTATCCAAACCTGGGGAAGAAGGGAAAGGATGAATCTGAGATGACTCTAAAAGTAGTTAAGTGGCTACAGGACCAAGTCAACAGGAAACAAATCATGCTGTCTTTTAAGATCTGTTGTTAGTGATAAGTTAGTTATCTGGATAGCCCCCAAGTTTCCCATTGGCTTACGTGATCATCTCTGAAGAGGTAAAAACAGAGATTACAAAACATGTCTACAAAGAAAGAGAAACAACATTGACACATCAACCTTTGAAATATTCCCCAAGCCTCCCGGGTCTAAGCAACTAGGATGAAAACTTCAGATTAAACAACATTTTGGAACTTGAATTAATCTACTCCTGGTAAAAACAAAAAAAAAAATAAGATGCTATTTGCAATACAACAAAGAATTAGTATAAAGACAGAATGATGGGTGAGTTAAGAATTCTAGGTCACAGAAGGACAAAGCTTGTGGTTGAAGGCAGAAGCAAAGGTATGACCTGGGGGTAGCTGAGGTGGTTCAGCGAAAAAAGTGAAGGAGTTGAGCCCTTTAAGAAACTGCAGGTGGGACAGGTAGGTGGATTCAGGAGGACCTGAGTTCAAATCCAGCCTCAGACACATAACACTTAATAGCTGTGTGACCCTGGGTGAGTCACTTAGCACCACTGCCTAGCCAAAAAAAAAGAAAAAGAAAAAGAAACTGCAAGGTGAGAGTATCTGAGAAAACATCTGCATGTACAGTGAAGTCCAGTATAGGGCAAATGCAAAGCCACTCTAGGTTTTCAAGCAGGTGAATAACACGGTCCTATATATGCAGGAGAGAAAATAACTGTGGTATTAGTTTGTGATAAGGGAGACTCTGGGCTCTTGCCCAAGGGATGGAGGCAGCAGTGTTTGAGTAGAAAGGTGGGGACAGATTAGGAAGATTTAGGGAGATAAATCAATATGTGGCAAACAATTAAATGTGGAAGAAGGGTGAGGGGGAAAGGTCAAAGAAGTTCTGAGCCATGGTGGGATGAAGAAAGATCTGCTGTCACCTGAAAAGGTGAAGTCAAGAAGTGGGGCAAGTTTTGGTGGGAAAGACAATGACTGCAGGTTTAGACACATTAAATTTAAAGTAGTGAGTAACAGGGCACCTAGATAAAGAAGTCCAGCAGGTGGTTGAACATGTGGAACTATAATTCAGAGAGATTCGGGCAGCATCAAACAATTGGGACAGCAGAACAGGCTTCCATGAGAGAAAAAAATATCAAAAAAGACCAAAAACAAAAGTGTGGGAGCTATCTGCATTGTACTGTACATCTAGGGAAACCTTGGGAGGTTTCCTGCTATTCTGCAGGTTATTTTGAGTTCTAAGATACAGAGGGATTTGGTGATTATCAGTCTTTACACAGTCAGTGAAAATTGCATCTTTGACCTTTTCTGAACCATTCTTCATTCTCTTGGATATCCCTGGGTCAGAGTTCATGAGATCTAGACAGAGAAAAGTTGGAGAATATAATGGACGCTCATTTTTTAAAAATGGGTATACAAGGGGCAGCTAGGTGGCACAGTGGATAGAGCACCAGCCCTGGAGTCAGGAGGACCTGAGTTCAAATCCGACCTCAAACCAAACATTTGACACTTAAGCTGTGTGACCTCGGGCAAGTCACTTAACCCCAATTGCCTAAAAAATAAATAAATAAAAACGGGTATACAAAAAAAAATTCTTAAAAGGACAAGAATAAGAAATTATCAAAAGAAGTAAAAAGACTATCAGAACCATGCCATCTTGCTGCTAATGAGTTTTCCTCTTAAGTAGCTTAAAAAGAAGGAAAGAATGATTAATGTATAAAATAGACTAAGAAGAAAAAAAGGAAGCTATGAGTCACTTCATCCAACTCTTTAAAAACAGTTATAGCTAGTAGATTACACACATACCCTTCAATTCACATTTGTTCACCACCTTTCATTAAAAGAGGAAGAAAAATCAATCCTTAGCCAACTTAGGTGTTTATTAGTATCTTGTGTACAGGGAAGGTCAGCTCAGCAGGTTAGAACAGTATGCTCATAAGGCCAGAGTCATGAGTTCAAATGCTGTGTATGTCAGTTAGCACCATTTTGTTTCATGGCCATGGTTATGTGTTCCTAATCCTGGGCAGCCATTTCACAAACACACTAATGGCCACAAGGAGGATGAAATCACAATGTGAGCAAATATATGTGTGTGTGTGTATGTGTGTGTGTGTGTGTGTGTGTGTGTGTGTTGGGGGGGGGGGGGCGCGGCGCCATTTAAGGGAAAAACAACCAAAGCAAAAGGTCTAGTACTAGCACCATCCATATGTGAAGAAAAATATATCATTTATGATAAAACCCATGTGTAAACTGGGGTTTATGAATATGTGTGGTTCTGACTCATATATGCCATAAGCAGGCATAGATAATTAAAGGCTGACTTTGTCCCATCGCAAATTTCCTCAGCTGTCTCCTGCCCAGACCCCTGGGGCAGCCAGTGGCTTCACTTTGGTCAAAGATTCAGCTTAGAGAGTATACTCAAGGGTGCTTCAGCATTAAAGGAAAAGCATATAAAGTCACCTCAACGCCTTGAGACAGATAAAGGCAAAGCAGTTCAGTAAGAATGATTTGTTGGGTAGGAAGAAATGCATTAAATTTCTTGTCTGACATTGGCAAGGAATTTATGGGAATATTGAATATTAAAGATAATTGGCGACGAGAACATCATTAAGAGCCTATTTCAGCAAAAACATTAAATGTACTTAAATAGTAAATGTGCCTTTAAAACAATAAAGAGAAACTTCACTGAAAAGAAGATTGCACATAATGAAGCAACCTTCAAATAATAGTCAATATATCCATAAGGCAATGAAAATGACACTTAACATCTACAAGAGTAAGGCACTTCATCAAAAAGCTCCTCCAGAATAGGCCATAATTCCAATTATTCATAGTCCTAATGAGGCCCTGGAGAACATAAACTATTTCCCATACCTAAGAATTGCTCTCACTTTAAAAGCCTGACCATAATGAAGAAATTCCATATCCTTTAAATGTGGAAGTGAGGCTTTTAAATAGAACTATTACATATGGACTCCTAACACTTCAGTCCCTAACGTGCTATGTGAATAAGGGGAACAGTCAATTAGGCTGATGAAGCAGCTAGACCAGCTAAATACAGAAAAAATCTGGGACGGAGACAACACAATCTTTTAAAACACTGAATGATGAATTTTCAAGATATCTCAAAGAAGACTAGAAAAAAATTGTAGATTTTTTAAATGCCACTTTTGTTAAGTGACTGAAAAGACATCAGAAACTATATATTCATAGTCCTACTTTCCCCTTCCAACTTTCTGAAAATGATCTCCAAATATGCCAACAATAACCTTGATGAAAATATGAAAATGGAGGGAACTGGCAGATTTTTACAAGTGATTCCCCATAGCAGGAGACATCTTCTAATCATACAACTGACAGATTTCCAATGTTTATTTGTCAATCAAAAGCAAAAAGTATTTGACTTGAGAAAAGCCAGATGGAGCTATAAACGTTCTTCTCCCACAAGATTCTCCTACACAAAAGTTACAACTACATGAAATTCCTTGATAGGCAGAACCACAGATAGAACTTTGTTCAGTGACTCCCTCATTAATACCAAACAAGGCATAAACTAGGACAGGAAGTCTTATGAACATTACAGGATCATAGATTTAAAGTTGGAAAAAGACCTCAGAGGTCATTTAGTCCAACCCCCTAATTTTATAGATGAACAGAAACTCAAGACAAATGTACTTTACACAGTCATAAGAGATGGGTTATACAGAATCTACCTGGAAAATAAATCTCACAGGTTATTTCTTTTTTTAGCCTTCTCCCTCATATTATGATGTTCGCCACACATTTGTTCTTGGATGACACTGTGCTGATTATAGACATTATGACCTAAGTTCTCTTCACTGAGATTCAAAATGAATCAAAAGAAACAAAATGGATGAAGAAAGCTTTTTTTCAATTAAGAGACGTAGTCATGAAATAAGGTCATTAGCATGTCTACAAATGAACAATGAGCTGGGCCCAGAACTAAAAAACGAGGAAGAGAATGAGCTTGACTGCATCAGAACTTCTCATATCCCAAGCTGCTGCATGGCACAAAGCATCATTCCCCTCTCCCCATCTTTTTTTTTTTTAAACACCAATATTCTTCTGGTGTAAGAAATACTGTAGAACAATATATAGCAAGACATGAAATCATAGACAGTGGAAGATGGCCTCCAAATCAGGAAAACTTAGGTTCTGGTTCTCCTCTCACATACTAGTTATACGGTTTTGGGCAAACCACTTAATTTCTCAGTACCAGGTTTACAAGACCTTGTATTGGAAAATAGCTGCTGATCCTCATTGAGAAAGGGAGTTTCCTATACCAGTAAATCACAAATCTGGACCACTCCCAATCCCACCACCACCACCACCACCAATAAATCCCAACCTCAAAAAACCTCCTCAAATCCTTTTCAGTGATGCTAAATGTTTGGCAATCATCAAATGTTGCAATTTTCAAAGCATCAAGATTGTGGGTGGTTCAAAAAAGCAAGAGAGAAAAAGACTAATGGTAGGCATAACTAGGCTGCTACAACATACTACCAATAAGGTTATGTGTACAAGGAGTGGTTTAAAGGACATCACTAAGAAAAGTTCAATTTGAAAAAATATGGGTCATTCAGAGCAAAAATGAAGACCAACAGACAAATATCCTTAGGAGTGCATTGGTATCCAAGCCTCAGAAGGCCTCTACAGGTCTAGAGCTTGCTGGCTCTAAATCTATAATACCATGATCCTATAACTTTAAAAGACCTAGAGGAAAAAAGCTTCTAGCCCATTAGGCAGGCCTTCAATGGAAGAAAAGATACTTGGACAAAAACAGCAAAGGATGAGAAGATGTGAAAGGATCACACTGTACTGCTAGAATGAATACCCTCCCTCATGGATGGATCCACTGCAATACTCAAGAAGGATGCTTTACTATGAAACTGTACCTAATTGCATCTAAATATGTGGTATCATACTTTCTACAACATAAAACTGATCTCTCAGATCTCTCAGAAATGTTAGTACAGCTTTAAGCTTGACAGATAATATTTCTCTGAAGAAAATCAATGGCTCCTGTATGAACTGTGACTGTTCTCAGGAAATGGGTACAGCCATGCAAAATAACAATTCCTTAACAAAAACACTTCTTTAAAAAAAATTTTTTTAAGGAACAGTGCTCTGCTTAAACACTAATAAGGCAACAACTATTAACTGTTTTACTGAATTGTAAAACAGCGGCAATCTAGCTACAAACCAAAGTAACCCAATCAATAGTGTCAGATTTGAAAGAAAGCCAGAGTTGACACTTATTCTCAGCCACATTTCATAAAAAATTTAGATCATTAGGTATGGAGACTGGCAAATGCTGACAAAGTGAATAATTATATAAATAGTGTTTTGTTTTTTTAATGACAAAAGGGGAAGACAGGGGTGGGATTAACACCAAAACAGGGCTTTAGAGATCTAAAGAGTGTGTGTGTGTGTGTGTGTGTGTGTGTGTGTGTGTGTGTGTGTGTGTGTGTGTGGGCAGGGGGAAGAAGACAACACTGAGAAGGGCAGTGTTTGTTTGTTTGAACATATTAAGAACTAGGTATTTACTTTATAGTCTGTTTCAAGGCCTGCTTTAAAAGAAGATATTGCTGGAAATTACATCAAGCTTTGTTCTGAGCTTACCTTTGAATCATAGGCAGACTGCTTGATGACTTCAGGTGCCATCCAGAATGGGGTGCCCACAAAGGTGTTTCTTTTTATTTGGGTATCTGTCAGCTGCCCAGCTACTCCAAAATCAGCAAGTTTCACTTCTCCTTGTTCAGATAGCAGAACATTTGCAGCTAGAAAACAAAAACATGTGCTGCCTTGTGATATCTGGTTTAATGTTGTAATGTATTATTCAATTCTGGGCCTATTTTTGTTTCTCACAGCTATGGAGCTAATATACCAACTTACTTATAAAGATTCTTCATGGTAGGGATGAAATTTTATATATTCTTAGATGTACAAATCTTTACACTTCATCACCCCTCTCTCCCCACCAAAAGTCAGCACAACTCTTTGCACTTAGAGGAATGAATGCAAGGATTATTAGCTGAAAAAAAGATCCTGCCAAACACAGAGAGCCACAGAGCCCTAGGAGTCACACTCAGTTTTTGTCCTTCTCAACTGATTGATAAATTACCCCAAATTTAAAGAGAGTAAAAAGTAACATATTTTTCTTACCTTTTATATCTCGGTGAATTTTCTTTTCTGAATGCAAATAATCGAGTCCTTTCAGAATTTCTCTTAATATAGTAGCAATCTGAGTTTCATCTAGAGCACCAGGTTCTAGCTATCAGAAACATAAATTGGTGACAGTCATTAAAAAAACACCTTCAATCACAAAGTCATTTGCCTGGGGTTAGGGATAGATAATGTATCAGACAGCATATAACTTCTAACCAACAATGATGACAGTGGTTCATGTTTCTATACAGTTCTAAGTTTTAGGAAATACTTCCTAAAAAACCTCAGAAGGGAAAGGTGTGTGTGTGTGTGTGTGTTTTGAGCACACCTATAATTTAATTAGTAAATGGAAATTCTGATAAGGTAATTCAGTAGAGGCTTGTTCCTGCTTTGCAACTTCAGAGTCTTAGAGACTTAGGGCTACACAGCTAGGACACATGTGACACATTCTTAACTCTCCAGGCAGCTCTCAAGGAAGGCGTTATCATTTCCATTTTCAAGATGACAAAGTATATGCCCAAATAAACCTTTTATCCAAAGTATTTAAAGGGGGAAAAAGTGGTGAAAGCAGCTCCTTGTCGTGTCTTCGCCAATGTTCTCAATAGGTTACTAACAGGATGGTCAGCCTCAGACCAGGAGAGGAGATAAAGAAATAACGATTTTTAGGTCTGTGGTTTCAGTGACCTGCACCATGATCTGTTCCAAACTTAATAAGTTCTGATCCACCATGTTGCACAGGAGGAGAACAGGTAGAATCCAAAGCCCGAACAGGCATAACCCTATAACAAGAAGCCCAGGAAACCAAGGCATGTCAAGAAACTCAAAGTGCCTATCTTATGCCTTTGCAGGAGCTCTGCTGAATCCTACCATCTTTGGCCATCTTACAAAAAGGAAACATGGATCTTCTGTGCTAAATAAAAATATCTCTGTGGGCTGGGGGGAAAAAAGGCATGAGAGAGCATGATTTACTGTTTGCAGCACACGAAAAGGTTGGGGCGGGGGGGGGAGTTTTAAAAGTTAAACATCCAAAAGTTTTATGTACATAAGATCAAATACCAAAGCATTAAAAAACAAAAAACAAAACAAAAAAATAAACCAGAGGCTTGAACTGTTCACTTTTTGTCTGTATACTTGGAACTATACTATGAAAACAGAACTTGTAGAGGGCTAAGCAGGGTGGGGAGAGAGAGAGGAAAAAAAAAAACCCACAGATTCATGGTAAGGCTGAAGAAGTTAGAGCAAAATAATTGAAGGAAAAAAAAGATATTTAGTCTCTCTGTCCAACTACAGCTGCAGGCTGGGCTTGAGAATGGGTTCAAATATTAATACCTTTACTATCTCCTATAGAGCAAGTAGTAACTATATACACACTTAACATGACCCCCATATAATGATGCTGATGGTAAAACAAACAGCTTGCATTTATACAGTGCTTTAAGGATTGCAAAGCACTTCACAAATATTATCTCATCTTATCCTTACGACAACTTTGGCTATTATTATCTCCCAGCTCTTAAGTGTCTGAGGTGGGATCTGAACTCAGGCCTTGCTGACTCAAATCCAGTACTCTAGCCACTGCATCACCAACTTTAATATTTTATGTGTGCTTTAGAGCATATTATAGATTCACAGGATATTCACTGACCAAAAAGAAACTCTAAGAGCATATAACAAGGAAATTAATCAGGAATTTTAGAAGGTATGCCATGGTGCAGGGTGAGGGGTGTCTCAAAAAAAAATACTATTTAGTAATTACAATTCTGTGTCCTAATACTTTTATCATTTGTGACAATAATACTTTGTCCTTGTTAGACTACTTCATCTCTGATAATTATCAACTGTTTCCTTAATATTCTCAATATTCTTCTTGATCTGGGGAAGCAACTCATTTACTACATGAAAGAAAAATAAGAAAATGAATGGATCAAGATATTGATCAGTGATATAATCCAAATGTGAAGAACTAAGAAATGAAATCTCCACTAATTATCTAAATTACTTCCTTAAGAAACTAGACCTAAAACCTGAATATGGACATCACAGGCCATGAAACAAGGAGATGAGGACATAGGCCAGGGAGGGCTGAAGAGACCCAGCAATTCAGTGTTCACTTTCAACAAAATAACCAGTATATTCTGTTTTTTCATTTGTTTTTTGATAAGCAATGGGGTTAAATGACTTGTCCAGTGTCACACAGCTAGTAAGTGTCAGAAGTCGCATTTGAACTCAGGTCCTCCTGACTTCAGGGCTGGTGTTCTATCCACTGTGCCCTCTAGCTGCCCCTAACTAGTATATTCTGTAGGTAGCTAGTGATCCCCTTACTTGTATTTTTAAAATCTGGTGACTACAATTTTGCACATGTATGAACGCATTTCAGTGTATGTAAGTACCTAATACTCTGTACTTCCACTAAGTAAAAATAACATCTGCAGTAAAGCCAGAAAGAAATGAAACTAAAATATTCATTCTATGGTCAAATGCATTACTGATAAATCCACGGTTACGTGGATAAACACAGACTACTCTATTTATATACTACATGTCTTTCCTCAAGGAAAACAGCGTAAGATAGGCCTACTTTGTACTATATAATGTGTTCCTCAAAAGTTAAGTGTAAGTCAAATTTTTTTAAAAGCCAGAATCATTTTTCCATTGCTGGACATTAGAATTTCACAGACATTGTAGTTTTCTTTCCTATTGATAATTGCCTATCAGAGCTATGAACTCTGACAATCACAAGACACCATTCAGCTGGAAACTCATTCTGCAATTAACCAAGATGGAGCTCTTTCTGAATGTTTTGCTTGGGATTCCAGAATTTCAACTCCAGGTAACTATACTATTCTAGATTCTTGTATAATATGGTTATATGAGCAAATAACTCATTTGCTCTCTTAATGTTCTGTAAGATTTTACCTCTGGAACTGAGGCAAAATGCCAGTGATTTATCAATGTCTGCTCTTAGTCATTGCCTACTATAATTTCATATTTGTTTCATCTATTTTAAGAGCTTGTTGAACAGTAAAGTTAATTGGCTCCATTTTGAATATTAGTTTATACCAGAAAAAAAAATCACCTTAAATAGTAATTCTAGCAATTATCAATTTGAAATGTGTTTATTCTATACCCAATTCATTAATGGATTGCTTATGGTAAAACAAGGCAAAACCATAATGCAAAGGAAGGCTATGGTTCCTAACTTCTCCACCATCAAACCAAGTCAAAAGTACAAGAAGTAGTGCGGTATAATGGAGTAAGTGCTAGACTTAAAATCAAGAAACTTTGGTTCAAATCCCAGCTTCAAAACTAGCTGTGTTCTCATGAGCTCTTAAAACCTTCTCCAACCACTAATTTCTTTATCTATAAAATCGGTATAATATTTGTACAACCTACCTTATAGAGTCACTGTGAGGAAAATACTAAGTGTTCCATGAATGTGAGTTGTTATTATAGCAAATAATAAATACTACTGCATGGTAATTTTACCTGCTTCTATTTCCAGTTTCTGGTGAAGTTGCTAATTTTAATGAAGAGTAAGGAAATAGTCAAGTAGCAGGCAAAACAATGGAGAAGTACCAACGTAAACCAGCTAAACTAACTGGGAAATGGCTACGTTTTACTAGTTCAATTGAAGTACAAAGTTAACTGGTCAATTCCAACTTTTTCTGATGACATCACTCTTTGGGAGAGGGGGGAAAAAAAACCTAACAAACACTTCTATTGAATTCATCTATCTGCAAAAGCATACAGAAACAGCACACTCAAATGTGTGGCTTATTAAAAATTAAAACCATGACGACAATCCAAGTTTTCCTAAGCAGTGTAGAACAAGAAAGACTGTATTTTACGTTACTGCCATTTCCATGGAGCAGAACATCAGAAAGAACCTAGTCACTTAAAACAGGTTCACAGGAAATCCTTGCCCTCACAAAGGCATTCTATTCTGGACAAGTTGCTTCCTTTGCCTCCTTTGTAGAAGGCTGTGAGAATACTCACTTTTCAGCTGGTCATACAACCTGGCCTAAAACTCATAACTAAAGAATGATCGATGAGAGCAGCAGGGAGCTTTCTCAATCAGACTCCCAGGCTGTCACTTAGCCCTTCTGGAAATACTGATTGATCCAGTAATTAGCTTAAATCTCTTCAGTCTCTAGTTTCCGTGATTTGAGCTTCAATTTACTACTATTCAATAATTTAAAGCAAGAATTCATGAACTGAGACGGTAATTCTTGCTTTATGAAGTCATGTGCTTACTCAATACTGAACCATCTCTAAGTTCACTTCCTCCTATAGGTGTCTATTAGAATTTTTAAAATAACTTAATTTTTTAAAAGTGTTTTAACTAATGATTTGCCCATCTCTTTTTTCACTGTTATTTTAATGATAAAGTCTACTTTCCTCCTTTTCCTTTTTGACACCTTCTTCCTAGGGACTACTACTCATTACTTCATGCCAGTAATATTTAAATAGCCTACTGGTGTCCTGCCTGCCTCAAGCCTCTCTCCACTCCAATTCATGCTTCATTCAGTCACTTAAGTGATTTTCCTAAAGTGTATGCCCAATAATCTCACACATATACAGCCCACTCAAAAAACTCCAGTGGCTCCCCCTTCTTCCTCCAGGATCAAATATAAAATCTCTGTTTGGTGGTCAAAGCCTTTCATAACCTTAGCCTCTCCTACCTTTCCAGTCTTTTTACAACTTACTCCTCAACACATACTCCTCCATGGAGTAACACTGGCCTCCAAGCTGATCATGAACAAGACACTTCCGTCTCCTGGCTCCCAGCATTCTCTCTGACTACCTCAACGTCCAGAATGCTCTTCCCTCCTCATTTCTACCTACTGGCTTTCTTTAAGTCCCAACTAAAATCTCATTTCCTATAGGAAGCTTTTCCCAATCCCTCTTCATTCTAGTGCCTTCCTTCTGTTGATTATTTCTTATTCATCCTGTACACAACTTGCATTGTATTTGTTTCCACGTTGTCTCACCCATTAGACTATAAACTCCTTTAGAGCAGGGGTTGTCTTTTCACTTTTTTTGTATCCTCAGCATTTAGCACAGTGCCTGGAACATAGTAAGCATTTAACAAGTGTCTGACTAACT